TCGCAGAAAATTTGCGTTAGGAAATTGTCTACCTATAGAAAGGGTTAGGCAGGTTACATTTTTAGTTCAAGCAATATTTCTAGTTTCTTCTCGAAAATGAAATGATATAGTCTTTGCAAAGTCTCTTGAGACAACTTGATCAGAAGAGATCCGCCATCACGACCGTCGGTTCCTTTAAAAAGTTAAGACCGAACGCGTGCCGCGGCGATGTTTTTTTGCTGTATACCTATGTCTAGAGTGAATTTGCAAAGACTAAAATAATACTTATATATTTTCACACCAATTCCCCGTTTTTGTTTTCTATTAAAATGGATTCACCATTATGTTTCTCTACAAATTATTGATTAGAGAAATATTTATTTACTTTGAACAGATTTTCTTCGAATTTTCTTCAATTGATATCTTGTCTCAGTTATTCCGTCAGAAAATATCATCTTATGGAGGCAAATAATTCTGATATCATGATCTGCTACTCCAAATCAGTAGCACATCATCAGTATTTTTTTTTCTGTACAAGCACTGTTCATCATAATATAATATCAAATTGAATATTTTTTCATTCGATATAGGGTTTACGAAATATTTGCTCGGATATGAAGAGTGTCACCTCAGCAAAATTTATCAATAAATCAATAAAAATATAAATAACAGTATCTGATGATTCACCTATTTATTTGATTGATAGATATCTTTTTATTGAAATTGTCACTAGTAAAACGCCGTCGGCCTACAAAAAAATACTCAAAGTGTTTGTCCATGTTTTCAAAAAGAGTTTAAGAACCTTACAATATATAAATCTCAGTAATTAATTGCCAGTTAATCAATTAATGATCATTGCAGAGCCTCATGTTGAAAAATTGGAGTGATAAGATATATAAAATGAGGTCTTGTGTATATTTTCCCAAAGAACCGTAGTAGAGATTCAGGATATTGAAGACTTGAAAAAATATGAATTCGATATCATTCACCTGGGAAAAAAATTCCTTCGATTGTCTTGATATTTGATAAGTTCTATTGAAATAACAAAATGATCAGAATTTGTTTTATCTATCAAAAGGTGTCATAAGCACCGGAGGAGTATCAGAATCGAAGAATATGTTCCACCACTATTTTTCTGAGCTGAATGCCTCCTTTTTATTTGCTTTCGAGAAATGCATGCTTGAACAGCGTACATGTACGCTGGCTTGAATTTTGTCTGACAAAAGCGCTTCAATAACGATAATTAATGTTTTTACTACCGACATAGATCTAATGTTGTAATTAGATCTATGCTACCGACATTTCCAAAGATGAATATCCAGAATCTAAAACTCTGAAAATTATGAATTTCTTTAATACTTCATATGTCTATGAACTTTTATGTCACGATCTCCCATACTTCCATATTTCAAAATAAATGATATTGAACCAAATTTTTCTACCTGCTTTTTCACACTATATCATGAAGGAGGATAATAAGATGATTTAGGCATAGAAAACTACCTACCGTTGCGGGTGTGCTGTGTGATAAAGATATAATAGTCGATATACGATTTTTTTGAGAAAACCATCTCCCCACTAAACATGATACATAACAAAAATATTTTTCAGTTATAAGTTTTGTGATATTGTTGGAATAACATTGCGATAATGTCCTTCTGAAGTATCCAACACAATATTATGAAGTAAAACGTTTATGAGACATCGCATCAATATCATTAGATAATATTGTGATATATTGATTTTAGGTTTATCAGATATATCTCAGACAGAGTTTGTATGTTATTTGTGCAACGTTTTCGTTTCACCACCTTATAACGTAGCTTACATGCATACAGGATACAAGGAGGTGATATTTGTTCTTTTACGGCAAAGTAACCTTGTCAACTGTCAAAAGTCAATTCAATTCCATTCCAGCCATTTTGTTTGTTGTCTATTATGGTGAACAAGTCAAATAGTGTGATCAGTGAAAATATTGATTTTCAGGTATTATTCGTATAGTTATCAAAGTAAGTGAAGAACTAAACAAGTCTTGGACTCAAATTCGAAACAACAATGAATTGCTCATGATAACTACTTATATTCCAGGTTTGCTCTGCTGGAATATAGAAATGCAACCAATCTGTATCTGCATTTCATAATATGTGAAAAAGTAGGAGGCATTCGTGAATACGGATTGTGTTCATATTTCACGAATTACAAAAATAATGGGTGAGTTATATATCATAGCTAGAAGAAGAACATAGAATAGAATTTCAAAATAATTCAGAAAACTCCCAACAACTCGTACTTATAGAAATATATTCACCTATTACTTTTCAGAATTTCAGTAAGGGATCACTGGATTATGCAGACATCTAATCAATCTGTCTCAAAATATCACTGGGTAACTAGATCATACGTATAGTTTTTCAGGAGTTCGGTTAGATCAATTCATATTTAGGAATAGTTTCTTCTCTGATGTATTTTCTGAAGATCATTCAGATGATTTTCTTGATGATTCCAGACAAAATAGACATAACCTAAAAACTCCTAGAAACTAATTAGAATGTTAATATACAATATTGTTTAGATGTTTTGAGTTACATTAAATATACGTTATGAAGTAAAATTGATTTTATGTGATTCCTGATATATTTATATAATATTTACCATCAACATTACATTGCAATATTTATACGAGGCACATACGTCGATTGCCGCAACGTAACTGTGATATCAAGCATATCTCTAAATAACATCACAAAGTCACATTGTAATATTACATATATGTTTGAGTTATGTTATTATGTTTAGTGGGTCCAGAACTACCATCAGATTTTTTCGATAGTATTTTGTTTTTCAAATAATCGAGAAAAACCAATATGTTGCGTTTTGACCATCCCCTGTATCTCCGTTATTTGAAAACTCACGACCGAGCTCACGACATTTATATGATATGGGCACCAATAGAAATTTCAATCCTCCTTTCAAAAATGTATCACTATAACATATCATATTCTTCTGAACGAATACATCAGAAATAAACGAATCTGAAAATTTCCATAAGAAAAAACAATGCAATTGTCATTATCTCGAAAACGCAGGAAGATATTTCATTGTTCTATTTTTTATTCAAAAGTTATTGAAAAAGTGCTCACGAAATGTCTGAGCCAGAATGCCGTAAGTTTTCAAATAACAGAGATACAGGGGATTGTCAAAAACGCACCACTTTGGTTTTTCGCAATTATTTCAAAAACAGAAAATGATCGAAAAAATCTGATGGCAATTCTAAAATAGTAATAGAATTCTGAGGAACATTGCTAATTTGAACGACTGTGTAGCTCTTATAATAACCGAGATAGCAATACATACAGCACCAATCTGGGACAAAGTGTATAGCAAAACAACGTTTGCCTGGAATATAAATAGCGTTTCATTTCACCCTAAAATGCCCTATGCTTTCAATTTTATAACCGTACCACCCCTACTGACCCTGACCACCGCGCCCAAGTGGTTCTAAAAATAGATAAGATGAGATAAGTAAAATGAAAATAACCAGCGGGCCAAATTAACACCCGTATCCGTATACATGCTTGCGGATTCGCCGTGGAAGGGGTTCTGAATTCTCTGCCTACTGCTGTCACCCTCTCGCACCTCATTCCTCAGGTGATCGCACTAATTACTTTTTTACCATAATTATAGTGAGTTACCCAGTAACAGGTAGAAGACTGATTATTTTTCCGCAATGTGAAATTCTCAACATGTTTCATTGTATTCTTCTTTATTCTGAGCGCCATCTAATAATGATAATTAGAATCAAAATTTTGCAACGCCATCTATAAGACAGAAGCTGAACTAATGTACCCCTGAATAGACCTGAATTCAGACACGATTTATGTAGGTCGCCACCAATTATCGACGCCATATTGTTAATTTTGGATTTTTTCCCGTTTTCTTTGGAACGGTGTGATTTTGGAAGCCAGAATTTGGGCAGGGTATGGCATTTTAGTGTATCTAGGAGCTAAACCAATTTTCATTAAAATCTGTGACACAAAATTTCCCAATGTTTACATTTTTCAGTCATCGCCTGCTTTCTTCAACAAACGAGTTTGATTTCGAAAATTACTTTAACTCCTAGCTTGAGCTTTCGTCCTTAGTATCATCCAAACCGTTTTTCATTTGGACTTTTCGTTTGGCAGAAAATGGGGCTGGAAAATAGGTCTGCATAGCGATTGTCGTGAATCGTCGGTCTTAACATAGTTTTCAATGTATCCCCAAAGGAGAAAATCTAGCGGTGTCCAATCAGGCAATCGCACCGGCCGATAAACTGTGGAATAAGTTAAGTTATCAAGGTAATTCGTGTAAGAATCAATTAACATGGAAAAATTTGAAGCGCTGCATTGAATCATGAATGAATACTCCATCAATGTTTGACACCGAATGATCAGAAATAAGTGGAACATTCAAACCACTTTGTAATGTATTATTGAATTTAGAATGAAAAATCTATGAGAATCTGTGAACACGTAATCAGGACCATATGTAAAATAAAAGTTGATGATGGTTCTACGAACACGGAACGTCGCGTAGAGAAATCAATATCACCACGTTAAATCTCATCAAAAGTTGAAATGGAATAGTATTCTTGGTTTTTCTGTATCTCTAATAATAACGTAAAAAAAATTGGATTTCCAAAAATTCACTTTCTCCGATGTAACTGAGAAACTATAAACAATTTTTAAAATTTTCCAAGGCCGTTGGTATGACACTCGGAATGCGCAACTTTTTTCCCATTTAACCGAATTCGAATCTCCTCCCGTTTCCGAGATACCCATGCTGTGCAACTTTATCTTGGTCACACTGTATATGGTGGACTCTGTGGGAATGGTCAACTTGTACATAATTAAAAATTCGACAAGTTTGTATCTGGTTCATGATTTTGATGAAACAGTGAAACGTCAACATTATTTTGTGCGAAACATTGAACTGGTATAAACTGGAAAAATTGAATATTCTAAAAATAAATACACTAGATTATATCACATTTTACAATTTTTAACATATTTCTTAATTTTTTCATTGTACGATTTTTCTATAGCCAGCACCTGCAACAAGAAAATACTGAATGAAAAAGTGTCATTGGTCAAATTCATTACCAAATGCCAACGTAAATATGGCATTATTACCTCAGAATCAGTTGTCTGCATTTTGAACAATATATTATCTCGAATTTTCTTATTTGAGGATTCTATATCCAAGCAATTATTCAAAAACTTTTGAGACCATAACTTCCACTTCTCTTCATTTTCCTAAAAAATGATATCACTTCAGGAAATCTGATTTTCCAGTATGAATATAAGACAAATTAATTGATATAATAATAAAAGTTTGATTTCAAGCATAACTGAAAAACTCTACTACCTTGTTTTCAACTTTGACTTGAGACAAAATTTTTCTGAAATTCTCTTCTCGTACAGCCATCTGTTTTCGAGACTCTGTAAATTCGTTATGCAATATATTGATTCGGTCGATCAGATCCTCCTTATCCTTTTCCAATTCTTTGATTTTGTGGGTACATTGCCTTATAATGGTTGCGATATGTTCGCGATACTTTCCTTCCTGATTTTTCATCATTTCAACTTGTCCTTTGTACAGATCGTTACTCGAAGCACATACTTTCTTGTACTTCTTTTCGATGTCACTCAGCTTCTTAAGATATTCCTTTTGGATTTCTTCTCTCAGCTTTATCTCAATTGTTAGAACATCAACTTGAAAACGAACATTATAAAGTTGAAAAATTCAAGAGCATATTTTTTCTGGCATGGAATATCAGGAGGTAACTAGAGTACCTAGTCACCCTAACGTTATACATGCAGAGTGATTAAAATTTAATTTGAGGTAGATAATTCAAGGCCGTATTATTGGAATCGAGATAAGACTTTTTTCTCCGATAAATGTGTTCTAAAATGCACCCCTTCCGACCTACAGCCAGAAAACGATTATTTAAAATTGTGACTATAACTAAAGATCCAATCTTTTGAAAATCGGCATGAGACCCCTTTTTTGAATATTCTAATTATCACAACCACTAAATAATTTACAGAGTTCGCAGAACAGTGGGTCCAGAAAGTGAATGTGAAATATTGAAAATCTCAAAACTTTCGATGGAAATACCATTCTACTTGTCATGATTCGATGCTATCATAAAAATGAGCCTTAGTACTAATTGATTTCTATATCCTAAACTCACAATGTCGAAGATAGCCCATGAATTTACACAATACTGTGATCAAAATAGTCTATGTCTGAATTTGAAAAAATGATTTTCGATCTCATTTTCTAATAATAAGACCAAATATAATCATGTATACAAACTCAAACAAAATGACATCACAAAGGTTAATGAAGTTAAAGATCTGGGAGTTATAGTAGACGAAAAACTAACATTTAATTCTCATGTAGATAAAATCGCAAACGATGCAAGCAAAATGCTCGGTTTTATTATAAGGAATAGTAAAAGCTTCAAGAATCCTAAAACAATCATATCCTTATATTACGCATTTATCCACAGTAAACTTAGCTTTGCATCGATTGTATGGAACCCGTTGTATGGGGTGAATATTAATAGGCCCGAAAGAATTCAGAATAGATTCTTAAGATATTTAGCATATAAAATTAACACTCCCATTGAAAACAGCAACTACACCATTATAAGGAACAAATTCAACATTTTAAGGTTGGTAGATAGAAGAATTGTTAGCGATCTTGTCTTTATATCTAAAATTGTTATCAATGAAAATGATTCTCCTGAACTGTTATCGAAACTGAATTTCAATGTTCCATCAGGACCTCTTCGTAATTTTGACTTTTTCAACTTGCCATATCGTAGAACTAATTTAAGAAATAATTCTCCTATTATCAGGTGTCAGAAGGAATTTAACATGTACTGCAGTAGCTCGAATTTATTTGATAAGTCTGTGCTAGCAATAAAAAGATATATCAAAAGAATATTCAGTAATTCCTCACACAATTTTTAAGTGTATTTTTCTACTCACATGCCTAAAATGTCATTTAGCGTACGGATATGTACCACGCTAAATGATCGATTAATCACGGATTGACGATCTGTGATTTATTCAAAATATTAAACACGTTACCATGGCAACACGATTTCTTAAACACATTACCATGGCAACACAGTTCATTAAACACAGCTTCAGTATAATTTGAGACATGTCTGGCCTATCAATTGTAGGAACTGTCAACTGTCATTTCCGAATTTTGTATCAGAATTATTCAAACAATTTTCGTTTGTATCAGAATTCTTCATTAAAAATATAATATGCGGAAAGTAGACAAAATTGAAATCGAAGAGAATGTTTTGGTACTTGCATATCTCCAAGAAGTGTAAAAATGAAACATCCATCTTTGAGAACTTTTTATTTATTATGCGCTAAGCATGACAATTAACATGAAACAAAGGTTAGTAAGCAATGGACTGGACACATCTACAACCAATATCACTTATAGGTATCTCGCTGGTTGCATGCAGTTGCAGTTGAAGTATTATGTTCGTAATTCCCATTCTCTCCGAATTATTTTGTAGGTTAGCAGGAATAGCAGGTATGTTAATGTAATTTTCGGAGTTCGTAGAAAAAGCATAGTATGTTACGCGTTTATAAACTCTTCTAGACACTCGTTTATTAAACACTCGCTCCGCTTTGCTCCGCTCGTGCTTAAAATACTCGTAACTAAAAGGACGTTTATAACACTTGTTACATAATATACTATTAGTCTTTTTAAAATTGAATTTATGCTCATAACTGATGTTTATGATAATTTTTATTTGTTATATTTGCTATATTGTATATTGTATATATCAACGTTTAACTCACGTTTATAATAATTGTGGATGGTGTTTTGGACTTTGTCTGTTTGTATCCTAAAGTTGTTAAATAAATAAATAAATAAATAAATAAATACTACTTAATTCTGCCTTATGCCTGAAATTTTGGATTTTTTCATAGGCTGTGCAAAATATCTATCAATAAATGAAGTAAAGTTATGTGTTCGACTATTTGTTTCCATTAAAATAGAAATAATCTCGCCAAAAATCACTCATACATTATAAATATTTTTTCATCTTGTGTAAACAATATTCGATAAATGTTTTTTGCACAGCAGTTAATATACAGAATTAAGCCTTTTTTTGAGCTACTTCAATCAGCTATATGTTTTATTTCTCTGAACCACATTATAAGGCAAAATTTTCCAGATGAAAGGGCTAATACATATACTGACACCTGATACGGTTGATAGCTTCTTCTATAATCAAATTGAATCAACGTACCCTTAAATCGAGGTTTCTTTTTATCAGGCACCAACAGTTTTTCCAGGTTTCCCACAGTGACCAACCTTAGCCTCTAAGCAGTGGCCAATCTAGCTTCTAGAGGCGCTGTTGATAAAATCGAATTTCTATTACTAACTCAAAATATACAGAGCCAGAATTCTTGAAGTATCAAGTCTTTCCTCACGATGAAAAAAATAAATAATGAACCCACCTTCAATTGGGACTTCTCCAACTCGTCGATTAACTCGCTATCTTAAAATCTCAGGCTATCGTATAGTGACTTACGACGTTATATCCACACAAGAGAAAGATTTGGGTCATCGATCAAAAATTTCAACACACGTTGAATCACACAATTTAGCAATATAGTATAATCTTAATCAAAGATGATTACGAATATCAAATACAATTTCGAAGACCATTTTCCAGAGAGAGCGAGACAGAAAACCCAGTCGAATGTCATGGGACACAAAATTCTAAACCTGAACATTCTCTACGACATCTAGTAGTGTATTCGGTAGGCAGAGGACCACATACGTCACTGACAGAGTAAAATAGGACAATTGCAACCCGATCATGATTACCAAGACCTTTCGTAAGTGTCTCTGGACGAAGTTTCACACCTCCCAGTAACTCCATTGAGAAGAAATAAAGGGGGGTTCATTTGAAAAAGCAGAGATTTTCAATGTTTCACATTCACTTCGTGGACCCACTTTTTTACGGACACTGTAATTGAGAAGTTCAGCTAGCTTTGAGAGGGCAAACATATGTCTTCCCCATCTGTCCTTGTCTTCAGTGTTCCAAAGTATAGTAATGAAAATGATATGTTGGCAACACTGGAAATGAGAAGAAATGGAGAAGTAGATATCAACCTCGATACAAAAACGATTAGAATGGTATTCTTTTCCATTCTTCATTTTTATTTCCAGTGTTGCCAACATAAAATTTTCATTTGTGTGAGTTAGAAACTGAAGACAATGACAGATGGGAAATACGTATTTTTTGCTCTCTGAAGGCTAGCTGAACTTCTCTATTCAGTGTTTGTGATTATGTGATTATGATCCGTTGAACCTTCAATATCCATGATTCATCACTATATACCGCTCAGAATTATAATTTACATGGCCAATAACCAATCAAAGAATCAATAATGTAGCAATACCTATAATAGTTCAGCAGAATATTCAAGTAAATGTGAAATACAATTGGCTACAATTCACCTCCATATTTTTCATTTGAATGTTCAATCTCTTACGGATAAAACTGATATATTAAATTTATTTCTGCAGGAAAATTCTTATCATATTGTATGTGTATCTGAAACCTGGAGCACAAGTGATCTGATAACTACCATAAAAATATACTATAATTTAGTAAGTTGCTATTCCAGATCAATTGCAGAACATGGTGGAATAGTAATTTATGCTCATGAGAACATAGTAGCAGACTATTTGGATATTGAGAATTTCTGTTGTGAAGTTTATGTAGAATTAGCTGCCATAACCTTCTCAATATCTTCGTTTCCTGCGTGTATTATCCAGATAAGGGTAATTTCCAAAATTTTATAGATTCATATGAAAAACTACAAGAATATTGGAGTAGAAATTATTGTAGTAGGAGACTTTAATGTTGATTTCTAAACGAAATCAATTTCAAGACGAAATCAATTTCAAAACAAACGCTCTGTAATAGTTCAACTGCATACATTTGAGGCATTTGATGAAATAATCAACTCGAGATACCGAATTATGGGGAATTCCTTTCGTGCGCTCCAAGCGATAAAAAAAGCATTCATAATGTATTGTAAAATCTTCACAAACGATAAGATTTCCACAAAATTCTCATTCACTCGATATGTTACATAGTAGCTTCATTAGGTGAAATACTGATACAATGAATCAAACTAACCTAGGCTTGCCTAACATTTATATATCCTACTTTCCCAACCTGAAGGATTAGAATTACCCGTGGACAGGTTCGATAAACCTTCATTTTCGGAAAATAGGCACAATATCTACATTAAAATACGGTGTACCGTATTAACTTGAAAGGGTTGATAGCAAATACATATTATTACCTACTACAAAAAAAATCAACAGTGGTGAACTATTGAGGTCTAGTTGATCGTTAAGTAAAATGTTAGAATTTTTGAGTTTGTTGATTTCTAATGATTCAAAATGATTGAGTTTCATTACTTTATTTTCTACGTGTAGTGTAGAGTTTCGAAATCATCATCAAAACTATGGTTTCCTTCTAATATATGGTTGGCGTATGTTGAATTTGTTTTCTTTTTCAAAAAATGCATCTTATGTTCATGAATGCGCTGATTGAACGTACGACATGTCTGACCGATACATACCTTAGGACAATATCCACAGTTGAGTTTGTATACCCATGATTTTTCGAATTTAGAATTCAATATGCTACTTTTAAGTCCTCTTCATGTAGAAATGAAGCTAATTTTTCAGTTGATGATCCGAAATAGGTTAAAGTTCTATAATTTTGATTATTGTAAGTATGGACCCATTCAATATCAGTTCAATATTACTCAAGAGCATGAGTGGTATCGGGAGCAAACCACTGGCAGACTGGCACATCTAGTTTATGTTTGTTTTCAAAAGGGCGAATTTCCGGACTAACCTAAACTCTGTAGACCTAATCCGATATTGAAACAAGGAGATCAAAATGAATGTAACAACTACTGATTCATAAGAATGATATCCGATGATATCAAAAGTTATAGAAGTAGTAATGAAAAATAGACTTCCCAGTTTCTTTGAGGGGGAACTACATCTGAATGAAAAACAATATTGGTTCTGATCATTACGATCCATAACACAGGCTTTGACAGATATTGTTCACACTGTTGCATAAAATAGGGACTTATTAGGAATATTAACGCGAGTTATGCTGTGCGATTTGACATATTACTTAAGAAATGAGAAAAATACGGAATTCGAGGATCAGTGTTCAATCTGCTACAATCCTTTATTGAAGATAGAAGACAATATATTATATACAGTTACATATAAAAAAGAATAAGCTTGAGTATCTCAATGATCTATCATAGGACCGTTGCTGTTCATTATATATATATATATATCAGTGATCTAGCGACATATATTGACATAGCTGATACTTTTTTGAATGCAGATGATGCAACGTTTGTAATTAGTAACAAAGATAATGATAAACTTAATGAAATGTCATCAGCGACAATGGCTATAGGTGAACAATATTTGTGTTGTGTCTAAATGAAAATAAAACTAAGAAATTACATTCACCAAAAGAACCGAAATTGCAGCGGGAGAAGCCAGTGTGAAATTATTAGGATTGCAATTTGATAACACACTGACTTGTAATGACTCATTGTAGTGATCTGTGCAAGATTCTTTATAGAAGTCATTTTGCCTTGAGGAGGACGAGAAGTCTAATATCAGAAGGGGTTCATAGAGTAGCTTATTTTGGACTGATTTAAAGTGAAATACCATTCTGGAATACTTCTATGGGGAGCATCAACTACTGCAAATAAGATCCTTATATCTGAAGAAAAAGAGGGAATTTCTCACAATAGCTAATTTGTACCCATCATATTTGTTCATAATAACAAAAATGAGGATAATACTGGATCAATGATTCACAACTACAATACAAAAAATAAGGACCGGATTAGACTGAAGTGAACTCGGTGAGATCTGCTAGACAAAATAGAATTCTATTATGTAAGATATACAAAGTGACCCATTTGAAAGTGGACCACCCTCATATTTTTTTCAGGAAGAGGTGTATTTTGCAGCCAAGAGGTGTTCATTTTTTCAAACCAAGGCCTACTAGATCACATCCAGAGGCTGAAAAACTCTTTATTACCGATTTTTTCAGAGACAATCCGCGTACACTACTGAAATCGGCGTTCTCTGAAATAGATCTGTACCAAGTTTCATGTGAAAGTATTCAAATTTGACGAATCTACAGCGTGTGAAATTTTCATATTTCTATAAAGGGTTGAAAAAAACAAGGCACATCTGCATAGAATTTTTGCGAAAGTAATAATTATTTACTCGGAAATGATGCGTTCAACATAAAATGGTATTTCTTGTATTTTCTTTCAAATCACGATTTCTTTCCGAGACTGAAAATGAAAAAAAAAAAAAAAGAAGAGAATTGCGTTAATTTGGAATGAAGCGATTTTTTGCATATGGAGGATCGAAAGCATGAGGAAAAATGATATGAAGTTAGTTTTATTGCAAAAAAATCGTTATATGATTTCATAAAAATCGACCCCTTTTTATATCAATAATCCATCAACAATCCAACTGAATGTCCGTCTCTGAAAAACTGATCATATTGATAGCTATTCATACCGGTCCCTATTTGGTAGAGATCGCACGACTAATACCTGAGATAAAGAGGAGGGAGGGGGAGGAAGGGGCGTATGAAATAACACAAGCTGTACATTCGTTAATGTTGAATATTTTTCCATGAAACTTGGTACAGATTTATTTCAGAGGACGCCGATTCCAGTGGTATACGCGGATTTAAAACAAATCGCTAATATAGATTGTGGATTTGCAGCTTCTGAATGTAATCTAGTAGGCCTTGGCTTTTTAAAAAAATGAACGCCGCTTGGCTCCAGAATCCACTTTTCCCCCTCTAGATTTCAGAAAAAAAATCGTGATAATCGCACCATAAATAAAAATTTTATGTGGGTGGCCCGCTTTCATCAAGTGGGTCACTCTATATATTACTCTTCCATTATCAAGGACCAACTTTACTTTACTTAAGGGCACTTGTAAGTCAGGCCTTTTACTCCATAACCGAAGTTTTTAATTTCATATGGACTGAAAACCATATCAGTGAAGGAATATAATATAAGCATAAAATAACATTTTGAATCTTGATTTTTAATTATGTGTAAATAAAAAGATGCTATGTATGTTTCTATATATAACACAAAATTGCTCTTGCTTTACTGGGTTCGATAAATCAATGAGGTACTTTGTATGTCATGAATATTATGTCGCTATCATTCCGTGCTCGTTAAACAAACACCTTTTCAGTGTTTTGAAGGTACTTTTGTGACTTGTGTAAAAATGTTTTGTTGATTATATTACACATTAGCAAAATATTGTATATTTTGCGTTTGCATTTTTATAGAAAAACGTGATCAATCCAAAAACGGTTCATTTAAGGTATGTGATACATGATTTGAATCAGAATCATGAGAACAATTGAAAAATGTTGTGAAATACAGAATATCCTATTGAAAATAACAAAGATGGCGTTACTTCGGCAAAAAAACAAGAGCTTCACAATAACGAAGATACTTTAGTTGGATTATCTATGTTTTCTCACATTTTACGTTCTAATTTTCGAACGAAGAACCGACTATTTCCGAAAGCAAGTACTTTTCGTCCGCAGACACTAACTTTTCGTCCGCAAACACTTTTCGCCCGCTGCCGGGTTGCCAGTTCTACTGAATTTTCAGTAGATCTCCTGATTTGCATATTGATCTACTGATACATTTCATAACCTACTGCAAAATATTTTCACACTTATTTATTATTATAATTACCTACATTATTATTCATCTTTAGTTTCACATCAACTTATAAATTGCATGATATTTCGGCACACTCTGTTTAAATTAATTTTAGAAAATAAGTAATAAATTCACATAGGTACTATAATTGTTCTTTGTTCTAAAATTGTTCTTATCCGTCATTCGGTTGCCCCTTCACGAGCAACCGTCAGAAGTTCTCCAGAGACTTGTGCGAAAAAAGGACAATACTTTATCTGATTCATATTAAATTCTATTTTTTATATGCCTCTGTTACAACGCAGTTCATTTCTTTCGTTCCATTTTTTCTTTGTTGAGTATTTTTGTTGGTCATTTTTACTATTTGTTCCTGTTTTTTATGAACTCATATCTTATAAGTAACTATGTAACTGTATTTTGTGATACCTGTGAGTATTTTCAAATTGTGAATTAGGAATATAATTATTTTTTTTTATAAGAATGTTTGTTTTGTTTGTTTCTATTTGGTTGGAAAAAGGTTACTTTTCTATTTACTGAAAGTACGTTTATAGGTTTATTTCATTATCCTTTTTTGGAATTCGTATAGTATAAAATAGATCTTGAATAGATCTACTGAAATATACTGAATTTTTGACAAGGTATTTACTGATGAAATGAAAATCGAACTGGCTACCCTGGTCCGCTGTGTGCGATAGCTGCGAGAGCGGAAAGTGAGTTGACAAATGACACCAACTTGCTGTTGTCAAATTAATTATTCATGAAACCCGATAGATTTCACGTGTGCATAGGAACGCGATGTGAAAATAAGTGTTAGAGGTCGGCAAAAAACTGTCTACTGTCTTGCCTGATCGCTAGCATCGGCTATCAATCTGCAGGCTCGACTATAATAGACAGTTTTTCATCCTTGGTACATAAATAACTATTTTTCGGAAGTAATAAAAAAAAAATGGAAAAAACAATCCAACTTATTTTTTCTCAATATAGTCACAGGAATGAGTCATTTGAATATCTTAGATCGCGTTAACTCAGGAATATATACCCTAATATATGATTAGCCGAGCAGTGGAGCGATAATCTCCTATTGCATGTAACGTTTATCTGTGAGACATTCCCCAACCTGAATAACTTTTTCATCAATGATCTTATGATCAAGTTTTTATTATGTGTCCCAATAATCCAGATTTATAGGAACATTTTTTATAGAAATGTGATTACATAGAAAACATTTTTTATAGGAATAATTATGCACATACCTTGGTATTCTTTATTTTCAGCTTCTCTCATTTCTGTTTCTAACATTTCTTTTTCTAAATTTCGCCTGATATTTTTTTCCACTACCATCACTTCTGGGAGTTCTGCTGACATTATAGCTTCTTTGCGGATGTCGATAACTTGCTCTTTAGTTTTAACGAGTTCTGATTGAACTTCTTCAAGAAGCTGTTCCAAATCAGTTCTTTTCTTCTCACACATTTCAATGGCATGTTCTCTGGTAGTCAGTTTTTGTTTCAAGACACCTGCTTCTGAATCCAATCTCATGAGAGTCTGCTCAAGATGATTGATAATGTTTTCTTTTTCTTTCACAACTTGAGATAATGCTTGCAGTTCCGAATTCAGATTTTCAATAGTATTTTCCGCTTTATTCAGTTGATTTCTATGGTCTGTGATTTGAAGTTCGTAATTATATTTTTCTCCTTCACTCAAAGTCTTGGTATTGGCGAGTTCTTCTATTTTTTCTTCCAAGGATTTAACCTTTTCCTGATAATGATGTAACTTTTTTGTTGTTTCATCATAGTGTTTTTTCAATTCTTGATCAGGTTCTATATTTATCGTCTCATTTTTGGATATCATATTAGTCAATTGCTCTTTCAGTCTTACATTATCATTTATAAGTTCTTCAGAATATTTCTTTAAATTGTTAAATTCGGCAGAACAAACTTCCAATTCTTTCTGCATTTTCTTCAAACGATTCTCATAATCATTTTTCTCTTTTTCGTTATTCAACATCTGTTGTTCAAGCTCAAATTTCAAATCATTTCTGTCGATCGTCTCAATTTTTCTCACAAGTGACAGTCGCTTTTCCTCTGATTGTAGCAGTTTCTCTTGAAGTTCCTTGATTTTCTCTTCAGCTTTCTTCATATCTTCTGTCATCTTCTCAAGTTGTGGTAAACTATATTTATGCGAAATATTTTGAATATCATTTCGAGTTTGAGACAGCATTTGTTCTAATTTTTCTACAAGTTCTCTGTTCGTGGAATTCAACGTTAAAATTTGTTGATTTTTATCTTCTATTGTTCTTTTATAATTCTGTATATCATGCTGCATTATGAGCAAACATTTTGTATGGTCTTTATTATCTGGAAAAGAAAATAGATATTTGCCAGCGAATCATGTATTCATTTTGTTGGCATATTGCGTATAATATAATTCCTAAAATGAATGTAATATAATATATACTTCTATTATGGGAAACCCTGTATACAGGGTTTCCCATAATAGACCTATTGTGATAGTGAAATGAATTATATGTGAGATGAGTTAGTACGTTCTTCCTTATAACGACAAAGTTCAAATCACCCCGCAAATTAATGAAACACGTACGAAGCCGGCGATTCGTCATCAGAATGCGGTCACGTATTCATTAGCATCAGAACGAGTCAGTCGTCGATATATTATTTCATAAACGGTCATCGTTGTACAAATCATCCTGAGTGAATTAATGTGTTCGAGTGTGAAAGATGTGTCTATCTAGGATTTCTCGAGTTATAATCTAACAATATCATTATATCTTCTATGGCCTTTGAGATTTTAACCAACGTATTACTATTCCAGAAGGCGCCTGACACAAAACTAGGATTCAATTTTTGAATAAGTTCGGTGAATAGATCAGTATCCTGAACCCAGGAAATGTCAAAAAAATTTGGCCAAGGAAAAAGGTATTTTTCGCTCGCGAAATTGGCATCATCCATGGTTGACAATGGGCCCGAAGAGGTATCCTTAGTATGTCAGGATACAGACCATACACAAACACACATCACATTAGATAAGGTTTTGCTTCATAGTGTCATGACTCATTTCTTGTCCAATCTTGAAAACTGCATCGGACTTGATGGCGGTCACTCAAGAGACGTAATATTTGAAGTTATGATAAGTCGTGTGTTACAGTAAATCCCAAAGAATAGATTGTGATTAGGTGTTTGAAATAAAATGTTTATCTCAATAGGTTTTTAACAATATTATTGAGCTATTAAATTTGGTAGTCTATTACGGGGAAACCTGTGTGAATATTATTTCCATCGTCAAACAAACGATTATTTATGACACATCCAATCGCTGTATGTTTCAAAATTGACATTTTATGTAAAAATACACATTAAGGCATGGAAGTGATAATTTTCTACTACGGCAGGAAAACTAATAGTTTAATTAATTCAATTCCAATTGATTCTAGATGATGATGAATGGACAACTATTTCCCAATAAATGTTTTAGATAACATATTTTCTCAGAATTAGATATATTATTATTTCTAATTTTGACATGGAATTTGACACTTTTCAATACTGACGGAAGTTTTGAAACGTCTTACTTCACTTAACCAGTTGCGTAAAGTAAAATATGATGAAATGTTCATTTCAACACCAGTTACGAATAAAAAAATATGGATACGGCGAAGAGAAATCTGAACTTAAACATTGAACCAATTTATTATTATTATTGTTAGAAGGATACGAGTGACGGGCAAAGTCATCTTGCCCACTAAATTTTTAACATAATAGGTAAAACTTATGTAGAACTGGTAATTATTTCTGTTCTAGCAACATTTTTCAACAAAATTAGAAAAAATATTGTACAGGGTGCGCCTCTCAAAATCAACCTCCCCTTTGTTTTTAGAGATATGGAAAATTTTGCATGCAGAAGTTGTTTGAAATGACTAACATTTTCATTATGCAAATTACAGTTCGTCCAATAAAAATTGTCGCAAATTGAAACTGGCAGTTTTATGCAATTTTAAAAAACTGATAACACTGAATTACAGTAAACAACATAATGAACTTATTTCTTTTTTCTAATGGATAATTCCAGAATTTTGACGTTAGTTGGAATGAGTTTTGCAAACACGTATTTCGAAAGATATTCAAATATTAACAAGTACATCGTTGACCTCAGGAAAATCATATGTGTATTTATGATGAGTTTAATGTTGGAACAGAATTCGTCGGTGTTTTCCGAATAATTAATTATTTTAAAGAAATTTCGCACCTGAATAAAAAATGCCACAGTTGAAGCTTGCGATATTTTTAATAAGAATACCTTCATAATCTGTCTTTTTCATTTATTGAAACAAAAAAAGTTGAATAGTCTTACCACACTGTTGAAACTCTTGTTTATAAACATCGCCTTTCAGTTGTCTGTACTCTAGTAGTTCCCTGATATTATCCTCATAGTCTCTGAAAATGTAATAAGATTATCTATGGTTGCCTGAACAGCAGGGTAAGATGAAAAAAATATATTTTCAAATGAAAGATATTCGAAACTGAAATGCATTATTCAGTGAACTCTGGTGAACTTGGTGGAAAAAAATTACCCAGGTATGGGCATGTTTCAGTGAAAAATGTTATTTCATCATTTTGTAGTAATAACCAAACTAATTCACTGTCACAAATCGATTACTCCTCATAGAACTCCGTACAGTTTTTAGATAATTAATCCAATGCAACCAACTATAGTTAGTAGTATTTAGTACAGGTTGGCTCGAACAATGGGTTACTACTGATTATAAAAATTGGAATATGAACACCAATATGGCAGCACATATTCCTGAGGTCAAAATAAGCCGATTTAAATCAACTTACCTCAGTCCGAAATTGCTCTATTTCCGAGATACAGGGTGATAAAGTTAAAAAATAAAAATCGAAATTTTCAGAATGTATGAACATTTTTTAACATATCACTTCAAAACTTAGTAGCCGGGGTCTTTTTGGGATGCTAAACCCGAATACGGACACTTTTTCACTGTGGCCATTAGAGGGCGCTTACCAATGCACTTCTTATGGTTCAGAATAGCTATGACTTTTTTAGCAGTGAAGTTTTTTACTTTCTTTGTTGAGAAAATAATTTTCTGAATAATTTCAAGTACAGAAGGTGAATTTAGCACCGTGTATCTCGGAAACGGGAGTTTTTTGGACTGAGGTAAGTTGCTTTAAATCGGCTTAGTTTTTCCTCAGGAATATCTGCTAATTTTTCGTACAGACCTTTTAGGAGCACTCTGTATACCTAGTAGTCGAAATTATAACAAACTTTGTCTAGATACCTATTGATTGGGAATATAATCTAGACAGCTAAAGGATAACTCTATGAAATCGTTTCCAATCCAAAGAATCAAGACCATGGATAACTTCAGCAATCATAGTAGGTATCAGCCAAAAATATGCGATGTTTACATAGCATTCGCGAATTTACGATCGAGCCTTGCCTTTTCAGTTTCATCTAAAATATAGAAGTACATACTTATGGCAGAGTCATCAGACAAGCAAAAAAGCAATTTCGATATCATATCACAACATGATATAGTTCTGAAAACATGATTACCGCAGTAATCGTTCTCGAACAAACGAAATGAGTTTTCTCACACATAATTGCAGAATTACTAGATATTTGCAGGAACTTATTGCAAACCCATAAAAATAAATCAAATTAACTGGATTACCCGCCGACACTGGACCATCCAAATTCGTATCATCATTTTCCTCAAAATCAAACATTACTTGCTCTTGTCCAACATATGTAAAACGTAAATTTCGAGTGTTTTATGTGAAATTTTCAATCAATGCTTGAATGAAGGGGTTGTTCCAAATATGACTAAATTTGCAAGAGTGACTCCTATCTTCAAAAGTGGTGATAAAGAATCCGTGAACAATTATCGAACCGTATCTGTTTTACCTATACTATCAAAAATCTTAGAAAAAATTGTGAACAAAAGCCACTTGGAATACTTGAATGACATTAAGTTCTTTTATGACTATCAGTATGGCTATCGTAAATCAAGTAACACAAGCTCAGCTGCAGTTGACCTTGTCGCAGAAATTCAAACTAACATGGATAAGGGGAACAAATGCGGAATGGTTTCACTCGATCTGATACTGTGAATCATAGAATATTAGTGGGCGTGTACACCTTAGAAGAACTTTCAACTCAAACCATGTTTATAATGATCCTTTTATACATTAATAATGATTGACGACATAATTTGATCGAAAAATTAACTGGAATACTTCATTTTTGGGCATAAATAATAGTACCTTCTGAAAACGGACCCTCTTATGACGTAGAAACCTCATCTCTCCATAGTTAAAAGAAAATACCAAACGCCCGACGGAGACTGAGGCAACTGATATATTAATTTTTTTCAACTGTGATCTCGCGCTAATTCACTCTGTCAGAAATCATGTATCATTCATCTCTGTCTGGAATAGTCTTGTTTCAGTATTAGGATTTTGACGTCACATCATCGCCTCGTTTTCAGAGGTCCGAAAAATCGGGAATTTAAATAATTTTTATAAAACGTAGGGAGCTCACAGTAAGAAACGGTTTGCGGTGGTGAGCTAGTTTGGGTGAGTTCTATCGAATCATGAAATAATTTTTTTTGTGATATATGCCCATATGAAAAATGGATATATTTTTGGAATGGTTCCAAAACTATTTATCAAATCGCAGGCAGAAAGAAAAAGTCAATAAAGTAGCTAGTTCAGAAAGAACAATTTCATGTGGAGTACCCCAAGTATCTATCCTTGGACCAACACTATTTCCCAAATACAGGTTGATTCTTAAGTACGTGTTCAGGAGCATGTTGCTGACGTGAAGATAAGAAGAAAAGTTCGTATAAATATATGTCCGAAAGTTATTCGTTTCTGAGATACAGAGTATCAAAGTTGAATTTAAATTTTGGTTTTTTGTTGATAAATTTCAAAATAATTGTGATATTCGAATGAAATTTGGTACCTAGGGGTTTTTTGCAATGACAATATCGAATTTCATGTTCGTTTGTCTCTTTCGAGAGGGCGGCGCCACCTACATGTCTGCCACCCCCACGAAAGAGACAAACCAACATAAAATTTCATAGTGTCATTAAAAAATACCACTAGATACCGAACTTCATTCGAATATCACAATTATTTCTGAATTTATTAACAGAAAACAGAAATCAGAATTCAACATCAACACTCTGTATTTCAGAAACGAAGAACTTTCGGACACCTATTTATACGAACTTTCCCTCTTATTTTGACATCAGCAACATGCTCCTGAATTATCTATACGTACTTAAGAAACACCCTGTACATCAATTCAATTTCAAAACTGAACCTTAAAGGCCAAATAAAATTAAACGCAGATGATACAATTCTTCTTTATTTCCGGAAATCAATTGAAACCATTAGATCAGATATGATCAATGATATGATATGTTATCAAAATGGCTTGTTTCTCACAAACTGTCTTTGAATGCAAAGAAGTCCTTGTACACGATAGTCTCAAGACAAACTCACAATAATGCATACTTACCTTCAAAATTCGACAACAATACCTTGGTACATTCGAATGAAATCAAATATCTTGGATGATATGTCGATCCTAACCTATCATGAAAGAATCATATTGACCATATAAAGAAGAAATTAGCTGCCCCAGTCGGAGTCTTAAAGATATTGAGCTATTTTATACCAAGATATGTACCTCGATCATAGTCACCTGCAATACTTAACCTTCATATAGTTTCCGGCTATTGATAAATATAAGAAACCACTCCAGATACTTCAAAATAAAGCGATAAAAAATAATTACTCTTTCCCCTATTTGCATAACACAAAAAAGTTGTATGAAAATTTCAAAATTTTAAAACTATAAAAACTGTATACCCATCAGGTATATTGTACATACAGTGTGACCACTTCTAATGGAAACACCCCTGTATCTTATGTAATCCTTGGGTAAGGATTCTGAAATTTGCTGGAGGGAGAGATATACCAAAAAATGCACTCTATGACCAAGTGGGGTCATCTTCATTGATATACACTGCTTGCCAACAGCCATGAAACCACCCCAATTTTCGGAAAATGATATTGGGAGTCAAAATAAGTCGAAAATCACTTCAGATTCGGAATCAGGGCGCCCAATTCACTAACTATTCATATTTTTTCTAGAAAATTTTCGGTTCTGAAAAATTAAATTTTGTCGCACTTTTTACGGAAGCACCCCCGTATCTTACGTACTTGACTTTATCTTTGGACTTTCCCTTCCTCCTGCAAATTTCAGAACCCTACCTCGATAATTACATGAGATACAGGGGTGCTTCCATGAGAAGTAAGACAAAATTCAATTTTTCTGAGCTGAAAATTTTCTAGGAAAACTATGCATAGTTAGTGAATTGGGCGTCCTGATTCCGAATCCGAAATGATGTTCAACCTATTTTGACTCCTAATATCATTTTCCGGAAATTGGGGTGGTTCCATGGCTGTTGGCGAGCAGTGTATATCACTGAAGATGACCCCACTTGGCCATTGAGTGCATTTTTGGTATATCCTCGCTCCAGCAAATTTCAGAATCCTTACACAACGATTACATAAGATACTGGGGTGTTTCCATTAGAAGTGGGTCACACTGTATATTCACCAATAATGTGCAATAGCAGACACTCTAATATCAAACTGTCATCTAGAAGTCAAATACATACATATATGTTACTCTTAACAGAAAATATGTAGCCATTCCAAGAGCAAATACCAATGTACTGAAAAATTCTATTTACCTCAAAGGAGTTTCAGAATATGATAAAGAAAATGTTTTGATTTTCTATAAAAAATTGAGATATTATATCTATTAACATGTATCTATTCTTGATATTTTTTCATTGTTGTTTGTTATCTATTATTTTATGAATTATTAGGTACTAGCTATACACAAGTATTTCGTGGAGGGGATGAACCTCTATGGATTTTTTTTTTGTATTTTTTGGTTCAATAAATTTCCGTATCATAACTTACCTGACTTTACAATTTAAAGAATCTATCTGGAATGACTTGTCTACCAGCATTTTTTTCAGCCTTTCGAGAGGATCATTGTTGCTTTCCTAGAATTGAATTTAATAAAAAAATAAGATATTATGTTACAAAAACTGGTTTTACCAATGGTGATTTTCGACTGAGAAGATCATTCAATTGTGTACTGAGAGCTCCAGTTCGTTCTGAAATATTTGAATAAATTAATTAATTATTTTTTTTTATCTCTTGAAGCGCACGAAAGGGAATCCCTATAATGTTCAAAGAACATCGTGCGTTCCTAGGGAGGATAGGGATAGGAGGTAGGTATTGGATTTTTTTTGAACTTCTGGAGATTATAATTATGTTGTTGGGAATACTTCCACAGGCAATGAATTCCAGAGCCTAGCCGTTCTATGGATGAAGGAGTTTTGATAAAGTGCTGTTCGACATTAGGTGTATTTTCGAACCCCCACATGCAAATTTTCACATAAATTCTGATTATCTAATCGACTATTTCAGGACTACGATTTAACGACTTAATTTTGTCATGTCATTAATTTTAGTGTAATGTTGCTATATGTTCATCTGTACATAAAGGGTTGAATTGTGTGATACCAAATAATTTCTTTTAGTAATGGAGGTGTCCCTGTCACAAACACGAATACGGGGCCAATAGAGGGGATTTACCAATGCACTTCTTAAGGTATAGAATGGCCATAACTTTTTTTTCAGTGTAGTTTCACACTTTATTCGTCGAGGAAATAATTTTCTGAAAATTTTTGAGCAAAAAAGATACTCTTGTGAGAATCCGCTTAAATAAGCCGATTTCGAGATATTTCTTTGGAGATATTTCTGTTTTTACAGGTTATATGAATTCATTTCGGAAATCACATCCTCATCAGTAACCTGAAGTCCAGTTATTCAACAGATATAGTTCAATGTTTGACGTGGCAAATAGCCAGGAAAGTAGTTGTTTTCTGTTGAATATTCAAAATTATATTATATGCATATCTTTATATGAAGGAGAATGCAAATTCTCTACTTCAGAAGATTTTGTTTTCAAATTCTTATCGTGTGTGTTCAATAGATGTAATTCAATATTTGTCATGGCATATAGCCAGAAAAGTAGTTGTTTTCTGTTGAATGAGCCGAGAAAGAATTGATATTTTCATCACATGAAGAACATGAATTCTCAATGTATTTCTTTACATATATATCCATTTTTTATGTTCATAAATATATCTGAGAATGTACCTTTTCAGTACTTTCACCCAATTGAAGGGTTCAAACTTGAACGATGGAAACTTGTTATTTTTATAGACCTCAATCACAGATGCGTGATAAGGTTTTTTCTCAATCCAGAATTTCTTTCCATGTCCTGTATGATGAATGTCAAATTATCATACATTTTAAAAACTCAAAATATCGTATGAATATTATATATTTTTGGAAAGCGCAATGCATTTATGTTTCAAATATTGAAAAATATAGAGGGGGTGTTCTATTTGAAAAAACATAACTTCTAGTTATATCTAAATAATGACAGCTCATTTCAAAAATCCGACTACGCCACTGGATTCACATAAAAAGTTGTAGAAGAATTAATTTTTACTCTTCCTATAAGTTGAATGATAGATGAGATACAGGGGGGTCCCAAAATGCAATATTTTCAATTTCGCCCTGTATCTGGAAATGAAGGGGGCTATGAAAATTTTGTATACAGTATTGTAAGTTTCACAAAAAAAACCGCATATCTCCATATTCAAAAAGAAGCAAGATATCCCATGAGGACAACGAAAATGGGATAGCCTGTACATATAACTGAAAAATCAATTTTGAAAAGTTGAGCCATATTCTTGGATTTTAAGATTTTCAAAGAGTTTTTGAGATTAGACATACTGGGATTGATTATCAATGGAAAAATAGAAGCCCTGAAAATCGGATAAATATATTTGAAACGGTTAAAAATTGTTAAACAAACTGACAAAAGAGATCAAGATGAATTATCAAGTGAGATAGAATGTAATCAAGGTGTTCCACTGGAAGTGTTCTGGGCCCACTACTGTTTCTAATTTATCCCTTTTATACTGCAAACTGATTTGGGCTGTCAAAAGATACTACAAAATGAGTCATGTGAATAATTCTGAATTGTAGGAGACTAACACCCATAAATGATCCCATACATGAAAACCCAAAGTCATCTCCACAATTTTAATGATCAAAGATCAATCATAGACACATGTTTTGGGCTTGCATATGCCCATCATCAGCCAAATAGATATAATATAATAGATTCAAGGAATATAAGGATATTAAGTATACCATAATAATTTAAGTATAACATAATTTAAGCTGTGAAAACATGTTCAAAAATTCAACATGAACATGACAAGGAATTTTTGGTACATTGTTTTTTTCATTTTTAAATCATGAGGCTAGCTTTGGTAAAGCCTCTGGTTAAGCTAGCAGAAAAAAATATATAATGAACAGAATATAAGGATATTGATTATATCATAATTCAAGGCAATTTTGAGGCTCTTGGTTGTACCCATCATACATTTTTCTGTTAATCTTTTTTTCCAAAAATTTTCACAAACACAATAGTTGAACTTGGCTTATATACTATAAAAAAGTGCAGAAAATTCATTAAGCTACCAGAGCCCATGTTTTTTGCCTATATATTTGAATTCAAAAATCCAGAGTGGTTCAACTATAGCTTTATGGAGTTGAATAAGTTTATTTGGAAGCCTCTATTTAGTAGCATCTATCTGTTACTAGTTTTAATTTTGATTTGTTTGCAAAATGTGAATGTGAAGAGTGTGGAAATGATGGATTTGTTGTTATTTGTGAATTTTGTACTTCATAAACTACTTTTTTAGGTTCATTTACCTAGTAGTCCAATAAATGAAGGAGGAAAAAAAGGCAAAGTTAACGTTGATTACGCACTATTTTCATCTTCCGGTTGGAAGTAGCTTTTGGTACCTCATTAAACATGAGACAAAGTTTGACTGGAAAACGCGTGCGATGGCGGAGAAAATGGCCCCAAAAGACCAGGAAAATAGGTTTTCAGCCAATATCTCCTAAAATATGGCAGTTAGAGATTTTTGGTTCAGATAAAAATTGAAGTTCAGTTAATTTTCTACAAAAATGGTCCTTATCATTTTTTTCGCAACATCAATATTTTCTGCAAAAAAATCGGGTTGAAAAACTGGAAATTATGAGACTTGTGAAATATGCCAGTTTTGTACAAAATTTGAGCTGGGGGGTGTTGGAAATCCATTATTTTCAATGTTTTGGATTGTGGAAACCAATTGTAGATGGCGCCACCACATTTTACAGATTGGGAAAATCCTCGGTGCCATAAATGAGAAACCCTGTAACCAGGCATTTTTGATGGATATTTATGTTTCCGAGGATCTTGTTTTCCTCTCAGATGTGGCCTCAAGATATACTTATTAGGAAAACAGACTATAAGATTAATTACAGCAGGATGGACCTCACCAGTTGGCCTAAATCTAGCACAATCAGCTTTGCACATGTGGTGAAATACTGAAGTTCATTAGGTTTTTGCTAAGGAAAACTGAAAATGCCTCAAGAGTGAAGAATATTTACCCATAAAACTCAGCAACAATTTCTTGCAGATTCTCCGCAAATTGTTGCAATTTTTTTTGCAAGCAGACTGATTAGGAATAAAGAGTTATAAACCTTCTTCATGTTTCATTTATTACAGAAAAATATATTTTATTTGAAAAGGAATATTCTCAGATAAATTATGAACATACAAAAATGGATATATATTTATATAAAGCAATACATTGAGAATTCGCATTCTCTATGTGATGAGAATATTTACTCTTTTTCAGTTAATTCAATAGAAAACAACTACTTTCCTGGCTTTATTCCACGACGAACATTGAATTATATCTATTGAACACACACGATAAGAGTTTGAAAATAAAATATAATGATACAAGAATAATATATTATAGACTAAAATAGTTGCTTGTGAACAAATGTTCTTGAATAAAAACAACATGAACAAATTCCCACCTTCTGCTCCAATTTTACAAAATTTGAATGTTTACTTTCTATATGTTTTGGGTTGGTAATAAAAGTTAATTTTAACGAAAAACGTGAATATGTGTTCAATATTCTTCACTTTTATCACTTTTCTTTCTATAATTGACAATAATATTTATCAAAACAATGACAGAAAACAAAACAGTTATGTCTCCAAGCGTGGCCGCATGGTTTGCAGCAGACGACGCGAGCGCCACGTAGAGCACACACGCGGCGAACGACGGAGGAACGAAAGTAATAAATTATAGCGTGTACATTTAGATATACTGGTTTTTTCCTGGGGTATCAAAGGTATGACTTATATACATCGATGGAAAGGTGGGAATTTCCCCGTTATACTAGTTAAGGTGTTAAAATGTTAGAAATAAAGAGCACGGAGAAAAAAAACACCGAAAAAAAAGTGCATTTTTTCCTTGACCCCGCTTTTTCTGATTTTAATGAAAAATGGACGACTTCATCTAAAAAAGTAATTGCACAATCGAAAAGTAGACCTTCTAAGCTTTCAAATGATGTATCATAGAAACCAATCCGATCATGTATAAATTTTTAATTGATGGTTGTTCACAAAATTTCCCCGCGCTCCAAAAACAGCAAAAAATTGGGATTCAATAAACAAAGATTAAATGAAAATTTAAAAAAATTAGGGTATACAAATTTCAGGGATGACAAAGGACCCTTATGAGGACCCATAATCAAGAAAATTTTGAGTAAATTAGTGCAATACAAAAAAAATAGGAACAAATTCCTGGCGAGGTCAAAATTGACCAGGAGCAGAAAGTTTGACCTATGTTCCAATATGGCCAAAAGAGTCAAGCGTGACTCAATTCACAGGGTATGATAGCAGCAGAATTCCTCTTTCACATGAACTTTGAATCATGAGAAAATATGCATTTTTAACAAAGTTATTGAATAATTTGTCCCCCCCGCCGATGTGTAAATACACAAACTGTGCTCTCCGGCATACAACACAGAAGCTCATTATTCGAGGTTCGCTTCATGCCGTTTTTCTCCAAACCGGGCAAATTTTACAGAAAAATGATAGGGACCATTTTTGTAGAAAATTAACTGAACTTCAATTTTTATCTAAACCGAAAATCTCTAATTGCCATATTTTAGGAGATATTGGCTGAAAACCTATTTTTCTGGTCTTTTGGGGCCATTTTCTCTGCCATCGCATGAGTTTTCCAGTCAAACTTCGTCTCATGTTTAATGAGGTACCAAAAGCTACTTCCAAACGGAAGATGAAAATAGTGCTTAATTAATGTTAACTTTTTCCCTTTATTTACTGGGTTATAGTTGTTTTGTTCATTATTGAATTCTAAACAAAATGTTAAATAGTCTTATGACTAAACAAAATATATAAATAATGGTAATGACAGATATAACCAAAAGATGATCACAATTTGTAAACATAAAACATATGAACTTCCATGTAATGCTCACCATGTAAATGTGTATTTTCATTTGTTAATTTCTCTACCACATTTATGAGTTCTTGGCATTGTTTTTGTGCACTGTCAAAACTTTTGGATAAAGCATTTATAGTGTTTTTATTTTCAATTTCAGATTCTATATACTTTTGTAGTTCTTCTTGGGCTCTATGTTTCTCCTTTTCCTGAAAGATTGAATTAGAAAGAGATAATATGTAATGTAAATGAACCTACATGGAGTTTTGCAATCATAGTTTGCTGTTCTAAATGTGCTTCTAACTTGGCAATATTTTCACCATGTGCTTTTTGTAATTCTTCAGAACTGAATTTCTGATTGCCAATATTAAATGGATTGATGTTATCTTGTAATTTCATTTGCAAATCATTTATTGTTGATTGGTATGTATTGATTTCTAAATGATACTGAAATAAACTCAGATAAGTGATTGAGTTTATAGTTATAGCTTTGCCTTACTTCTTCCATGGCTTTTTCATAGTTCTTGATTTGTTCCTCCCTGGCACTGAGAGTAATTGCCAGGTCTGTAATTGCACTACTTTTTTCCACTACAATAAAAAAAGTTAAGCTTGAAAAAGGAATTTTTGATGGAATTAAACTCACCCAAAAGTTCTTCAGCATTTTTCAGGGATATTTTTGTTTGATGCAGCTCTCCTTCATAAATTATAACCTTTTTATTCAAAGAATCTATTTTGGAGATCAGCTCTGCTTTGTTATTTTCATATTCAGTCTTCATACTATTCAATTCTCTCAGTCTCACATCATAGAGAACTTTAAGTTGCTCATTGGGATTGATAGCTTTATGATAGTTGTTCTGAATTTCATCAACAGAAACTACTGAATTATTAGTTGATGAATTGATAGTGCTCTCGTCATAATTGAAGTCATCCAATTTAGTCATTAATAAATTCTGAATCTTGAATTGAGAAAAATTAAAAAGCTGGAAAACATTATCAAAAATTGTTTACTTCTTCATTTCTTCTTCTTTGCTCTTCTAGATCTTCCTCTTCCTCATTTTGAGAATTATTCAGTTTTATATCAGTTCCCTGAAATAAACTTGCACCAGGATTATCCATTTTCAGTTGATTTCAAATTATTAATTTTCAAAATTCATCACTGGAGTAGAGTAGAATAACATGGACACAGAATACTCTATTCTGTGACATGGAATAATCACTACACATTTGACAGATGAGAGTGACAAATGGCTGCCGTTTCCGGAATGTCATTCCTGGTAAGTCCTTAGATCATACAGGTCAAGTCAAGGCTAAAAATCTGAGGGGTATCTCCCACGCAGTAATGATTTTGCGTCTTCAAATGAGGAGAGGAGACAAAGTTGAAGAAGAATAGATCCAAAACATATTGTTTAAGGAGCTTGTCATCTGGTTACAAATAAATTGACCCAAATAAAGCTTTACTTTCTATCAGTACCCTATACCATTTCTATTTCGTAACCTTTGTCGTTTGCCAGTGTATCTCGTACTGCTTCGACATATCCGCTTTATTGATTTGTAATTTGAGTGTTTACACGTATTTTCCACCTATCATTTCGTAAACAACGATGGAATTGGTAAACCCAAGGGCAGGTAAGAAAGGTGTACCCAAAGTTCAAGGGCGTCGATAACTTTTTAGATTATAAGTATTGAAAAAAATCATGTTATGTATCGTAACGTAATGAATAATAATGATATCGTATTCACGTATTCTAACGATAAGTTACTGAATAGACCCCTTAGAGGATTGGACTGTGCCTGTGACATATAAACAATGGAAAACAGAAGGACCGAATAAATGTCAATGAATTCAGTGCATTGTTTTTTGATGGTGCTGCACTGCATTGATTGCGGCTTGCCAGCCAATATTGCTGCCAATGCAAATCTATCATTGACACAGTTCAATCCACCGACTAGGCTCAATCCTCGATTCGTCGGGTATGCGGCTATTGAGACACTTCTCCCAATCTCATGACTTTGACACTGACAGTAAAGACAATGACATTTGTCCCAACAATGTCCGATTTTGGAATACGCCGAATGCGGATTGGGAACGATTAGCCGTTTTTAGGCTGTTTTGATGTTGAAATAATTTTGAATTTTTGTTATTTTTACTTTAGGAAAGAAAAGTGAATAGTAGTGAATATAGGTGAACAATGGCTCTGAATTTGCAATACGAAGCCATAGGAAAAAGTTTTGTACAACAATATTATGCGCTATTCGATGATCCAACCCAAAGGTCTAATTTGGTAAATATGTATAATGTGAGTACACTGCAATGTTTATTTTAATATTTGATAAAGTATAGTTTTTTTTAGGTTGAATTATCTTTCATGACATTCGAAGGAGTCCAGCTACAAGGTTCAGTAAAGATTATGGAGAAGTTGAATGTAAGTTCATTTGATTGATCAAAAATGCAGCATGTTCTATGGCTGTAGTCTTGGAGCCCCAGCCTCTATTCAGTGGCAGGTCGGACCATTCAAACACCTCAGGCTGTTTTAGCTAGAGCTAGGTCTCATTCAAATCAATGGTAAGAAGATGATCAGAACATCTAGGAGAACTGTTGTCAGACCTGCCACTGATAGATAGGACCTTTTCTGTTCAAATCCTTGCTTGGTATCAAACAACTGTCCAGGTCTTTCATTTTGTTTCCATTCACACTATAGTAACATTACAATGAAACTAGAGTGTGTGTCAGTGATTGGTCAGTACTGGATGTATGGTAATTGACACTTTCATTTCTATGTTTTGTATATTATATAGAACAGACACTCTACAAGTAGTGACATATATACAGTTTGTCCAGCTTTTCATGAATACACTCTGATATCATGGTTATTAATGATGCTATTATCTTGAAATTTTAGTGGTGATAGTATGTTTGTATGTTGGAACAATGAAGTATTCAGAAGAGTGAACAGTTTCATTCACTGTTGGCATGCAATGTTGAGGGCTATTATTTGGAAAAAAAATGTTAGGGCTTATTTCAAATAAGTAACTGTTTTTATCAGATTCAGAATCAGCATCCCCAAGAACCCCCCAATTCATATTTTCAAAATCTCAAGAAGAATTCAAAATCCTGCTTTTCATAACTGCCCCAAAATCTCAGTTATTTATGATGATTTTCTCCAGACTGTGATGGTGATTGTATGTTATTTTTCTCGTTATTTTTTTAACATACACCACCAAATTTCAAAAAAATTGCATCCTTGATAACTGAGATTCAAGGGTGTTGTCATGAAAAGCATGATTTTGAAATATTTTATTTTAGCTCTTGGGATTTTGAAAATATGAATTGGAGGGTTTTGGGGATGCTGATTGAGAATCTGATAAAAAAGTTATTTAAAATGAGTCCTTATATCTTTTTCCCAAATATAGGCCTTTTTTATACCCCTCAACATTGCATGCCAATGGTGAATGAAACTGTTCAATATGCTAATTACTTCCTTATTCTAACATACAATCACTACAAAAATTTCAAGAGAATCACAGCATTATTAACTGATATATCAGGGTGTAATTATGAAAAGCAGGACACACTCAGACACACTGTATATGTTTTACCAAATAAGGACATGAATATGTTTTTTGCCTTGATAAAAATTATATCCATATATCTTGTCTTTCATTTTTGAATGAGAGTGCATTGCATCTCTTCCAGTTGAAAGGCTATGATGAATTGAATAGTTATGAATATGTATATCATATCATCCAAACAGAATTTCAGAAAACTCGAAATTGTGCATGCTCTACACACATACCTGCAGATTCCCATGTGATACCATGTACAACAATTGAAAAAAAACAAGCTGTTACCAAGATATTCACTCAGTTCCATACTTTTGCCCATTTCTATTCAAGAAAGCTAGTTGACCATTTCTTCAGAACAAATTTTTATTTGCTTACCCTTTTACATACAGAGTGACATTTTGACCCTCAAAATCTTCCATCCAGTAAATAATATGAAAAATCGAAAATTCAGGTTGATTTTATTTTCAAGGAGGAATCTTAAAATTAATAATTTTAGCCCTAGGGGGTGATCGTTTTATTATTTATTATTGTTTTGTGTATTGAAAAACTGCAATATTGTATTAGTTTTTAATGAGTAACAATCTTGACAATTGTCTTTTTATGTCTTGACAGTTTCACTGACTTCTCTAGTTATACTGGGTCGTGCACCCTAATAATAAAAATGATTTGTTACATTCAACACACTCCCTTAACAAATGCATTTTTTAAAATACAGAATGGATATGAAAATATTGAAAAACATAAATTAACATGATCTCTCACATATAGTAACATATTGATTATAAAGGAAAAATTAATCTTTTCCAAAACTCTTAATATCCATAAACAAAATGCAATAGATTCTTCAGCACCTAGCACAAATAACATCTCTGATTTGGGGAAATTTATTAGTCCCAAGGGGTTTTGTAAATATGTCTGCTAACTGCCTGTCTGTAGGGCAATATCTGATTTCAAATTGTTTGTTGTGAAATTCTTCTGAGATGAAATGGTAGCGAACATCGATATGCTTACTCCTTCTGTTGAGTTGACCAGATTTGATGAGTTTTATAGCACTCTCGTTGTCCACTTCTAGGATGGTCCTAGGTGTATTATTAGTCATCTCCAAGATAAGACTTTTCAAATATTTGACTTCCTTGAAACAATCAGCAGCTGAGATAAATTCTGCTTCAGTTGTAGACAATGCCACAATGTTTTGCTTTCTGGAACTCCAAGCAATAGGTCCATCATTATACATAATGATGTATCCTGATGTGCTCTTTCTATCTTTTACATCCCCTGCATAGTCAGCATCACAAAATGCTCTTAATACTGGTTCTTTTTCTTCATTCTTATCTTTGGATCTCTTGTATGAAATGCCAATTCTCTTAGTACCTTGAATGTATCTCAATGTTCTTTTTGCATTAATTATTTCCATATCATTTGGGTCTTCCACACTTCTACTTTCAAAATTGACACTGTATGCTAAATCTGGTCTTGTTTTAGTTGACAAGTATAGTAGACTTCCAACTACATTGCGATACTTGAAATTGTTTCTTCTGATGTTGTCCTCTCTTTGGTCTTCTTTATTTGCAGGCATAATTGGAGTGGATGTACTTTTGCAATTTTCCATGTCATATTTCTTTAGAACTTTCTTGATGTAATTTTCTTGATGAATGTAGATTCCTTCTTCTGTCTTCTTTATTTGTATCCCTAAATATGTGTCAGGGTTTGGAATACTCGTCATTTGAAATTCATTGTTGAGCTTTTCCAGTATTTTCCTTATCTTTTCAATGTCTTGTCCTACAATACATCCATCATCAACATGAATTGCGAGGAACATATCATTTTCTTTGCTCTTGAAAATACATTGATCATTCTTTAGTTGAACCATTCCACATTCTTTGAGAGCATTTATTAGTCTCAGATTCCATTTTAATGGAAGCTCCAAACCATATAAAGCTTTAGATAGAGCCACTATTTCTCCATATTCTTCACACTCTTCAGGTAATTTCATTTATATGGATTCATCTAATTGTCCATAAAGGAAAGCTGTTTTGACATCGAATGTTTGAAGTTTGAATGTTTCAGCAGCGATAGCAAAGAGTAGTCTCAATGAGTTTGTATCCACTACTGGACTGTATATTTCTTCAAAGTCCATATCATCTTTCTGCTCACAACCTCTTGCAACAAGTCGAGCTTTATAACGTCCATCATCTTTCTGTTTGAGTAGCCATCTGCTAGTTATTATCTTTTTCCCTTGTATTTCATCTTTCTTGACTCTTCTCCAGGTGTTGTTTATTTTTAGGCTGTTCTTTTCTTCTTCTATGGCATTTCTCCATTTTTCTCTATCACATCGCTTCATACACTCAGCATAGGTGAGAAGGACTTCTTGGTCAGATTCTTCAGTGTTATATTCAAGTTCATAGTCTCTGTATCTATCTGGTCTTCTCAGTTGTTCTCTGTTTCGGAGTTGTCTTCTTTCTTGCTGATGGTTTTCTATAAGTATTTCTTCATTTTCTACATTTTGTTGATCTTCTTGTTGTTGTTCTCTATTTCGGAATTGTCTTCTTTCTTGCTGATGGTTTTCTACAGGTAGTTCTTCATTTTCTGCATTTTGTTCATCTTCTTGTTCTATGTTTTCTTGTTCTTGATTGTTTATTACTTCTTCTTGTTCCTCTTGATTATTTATTTCTTGATTATTTATTTCTTTCATGGTGTCATAGTTCACAGAAATATTTACTTTTTCTTTTTCTTCCACTGTCTCGAAAGAATTCGTGAATTTGATGTCTCTTGAGACATAAATTTTCCGGGTCTGAGGGTTCCACACCCTGTACCCGTTTGATGCATAGCCTACAAAAATTCCTTTTCGGCTTCTATTCTCAAGTTTCTTCAGGTGTCCTAAATTTTTGGTGTATACTATTGACCCAAATTCTTGAAGATTTGACAGATCTGGTTTTTTTCCATACCATGCTTCTGCTGGAGTGTTTTTCACAGCTGATGTAGGACTTCTGTTGAATAAGTATGCAGCTGTAAGTACAGCAAATCCCCACAGTTTTGTGTTCACTTGAGATTTGTGTAGCATTGCACGTGCTCGGTTCATGAGTGTCAGATTCACTCTTTCAGCGGTTCCGTTTAGTTGGGGTGTATGTGGGATAGTCCAGTCCAAAATAATCCCTTTTTCTCTGCACCAATTTCTAAATTCATTACTTCTGTATTCGCCTCCGTTGTCACATCTAATTTTTTCAGTCTTTATATTGAAATGAGCTTCAGCTTCATTTATGAATTGTTTAAGGTAATCTTCAGTTTCATCTTTTTGTCGTAGAAGGTACACCTTCAGAAAGTGTGTGTAGTCGTCCAAACAAGTGAGTATGTATTCTTCTCCATCATATGTGATGGGAGATATTTTTCCACAGAGATCTGTATGAATGACCTCTAGTGGTCTTTCTGCTCTTTGTCTGATGGTATTGAATGGTTTTCTTACCATTTTTGCAATAGTGCATGATTCGCAGAACTCCTGTGTGTTGCATTTTTGTAATGAATTAGATACGCCATTACAAAATTGTGGTACTTTCTTGAGATCATTGAAATTTAGATGTCCCATTTTGTTGTGCCACTCAAGAGCCTTTTCTTGTGTGATGAGAGCTTCTTCTTTGCTTTGATCCTCTAATTCTATAATGTATAGGCCATTTTCTGTTTTCTCGCCTTGCATTACAACATCTTTTTTATTATATGTTACCTCACCATGTACTATCATCACATCATTTTCTGTGAATACTGCTATTCCACCTTTATTTGTGATTGTGTTTACAGACAGAAGGTTTCTTGATAAATTTGGAACATATGCAACATTTGTAAGTGTTACATTAGTGCCTTCTACACTGCCTGTCAAGTTAGAAATTAACTCCGATCCCTTCTTCGCACAGCCTATTTTTATTTCTTCAGTTTTTCTGATATTCGTCAGTATATCTTTTTCATGAGTCAGATGACCAGTAGCTCCACTGTCACATACAAATTTTCTATCCAGCTGATGACGATATTCTCCATCCGATAGGTATGACTCTGTCAGATAACTCACTCTATTATTTATGTTACTTCTGTCTTGTTTTCTTTCATGTTCTTCCTTATATCGGCATTTTTCTTCTGGATGGTTGTCTTTCTTGCAGTATTTGCATGTTGAGAAGGTTTTTCCTTTCCAGCATTCTGATTCTGTGTGGCCAGCATTATTGCATTTCTTGCATTGCTTGAATGATGATTCCTTTGTTTTATTTTTCAATTTCTTCCTGCAGTCTTCAGCCCAATGTCCTTCTTTATGACAAAAGTTGCACTTGCCTATCTTTTTAATATTTGATGTTGCTTTGAATGCCACTTTTGTGTCTTGATTATACTTTGCTTTCATTTGATCTTCTTCTTTCAGTAGCCGAGATTTGAGATTTGCCAAGGTTTTGTCTTCTGATGGTGTAGAGTCCCATGCACTCCCGAAATATTTGAATTTGTCTGGAAGACTTTGTAAGATTTTAGCTATCAGCATCACATCATCAATACTAACTCCAACATTATTGAGTCTGAATGATAGATTTTGTAAACAAGAAATATTTGCCATAACATCACTTGATTTCTCGTAGTTGAAACCGTAAAACTGAGCTAACAATTGGTTCTTGGACAGCTCGTTATCTTTCTTGTACACTTTTTGTAAAGCCTCAAACATTTCTTTCGCAGTTTTTGATGTCATAACATGACTCTTCATTTCTGGGCTTATTGTTCTCAAAATGATGTGTTTTGCACTTGCATCTTTGCATTTCCATGTTTCGGTCTGTGTATTTGTAGTGCATTCTTCCAGCTTCGATGTGCCATCGATAATATTCATCAACTGTTTTGCCTCAAAAAGGATTAGGATTTCAAATTCCCACAAAGTATATGATGCAGCATCGATGAGTTTAGATACAGATTCTATTTCTTCCTTTGATCCCATCTTCGTGCTTTGTGGTGTATCCTCGGGTGTATCAGACTTCTTATTGAGATATCTTTTCGTATATATTTTTGTTTACTCACTTCGTCTTAGAGCACTCTCTGGGCCCATAACCTGATCGTTTTATTATTTATTATTGTTTTGTGTATTGAAAAACTGCAATATTGTATTAGTTTTTAATGAGTAACAATCTTGACAATTGTCTTTTTATGTCTTGACAGTTTCACTGACTTCTCTAGTTATACTGGGTCGTGCACCCTAATAATAAAAATGATTTGTTACATTCAACAGGGGGGATAGGTACTAAGAGTAGGTCGTGCAGGTGGCTCAAAACATAGACCTATCAAAGTAGTATTCTCAAATAGCCAAATTTTCAAACAACAATTGAAATCCAAGGTGAAATTACTGAGCACATCAATTAAATTCAGTGATGATTAAAAAATATCGAACCAGTAAAATATGAGTAAACATGAAGACAACTAAATGGTGAAAAGAACTTGAAGATCAAATGGGAAGGGGGGTCAAGTGGCACATCATTCTGAAGGGCGTTTGATTCTCTTTCCAATTGTACCATAGTTTATCATTTTCTGTTGAGCAGTTTCCGAAAAATGCCGTGACAATTAGAAAACTTCCCACCCTTAATATCTTCCTTCCAGTAAATATGATGAAAAATTGAAAAGACAGGTCAATTTCATTTTCAAGGGGGACACAATTCAATTCATTTATTCACCATATTGGTCACCTTTACAGGACATTGGGTTTGTCATAAAAAATCCTTATTTATAAGAATTCTCCTGAGCTCTCTTTTGAATTTGTAAATGCTGTCAATTTGTCTTACATTCATGGGTAAGTGATTATTGGCATTATGTAACAGCTATTATTAGTCAAGGTTAACCTATGCTCGGGAATAACCAGTTTGTCGGAGTCTCTCAAAGAGTATTTTTGCATATTGCCAACAATCTGAAAATTTACAATATGTGCTGTTCTAAACTTACAGAAGTAATCAGAACATGCCTGCACTGAGATGCATGGTTTTCAGGTTAGTATTATTGAATTGACTCTCCATTCAGTTCGAAATCTTTCAAGTATTTGAACTGGAAGGAGAGTCAATACAATAATAAATTCGGCAAAGTCTAAGAAACGAGGATTTCTCTCATTAAAAAATAGTTTCAAGTATTTTCAATACTTTGAAGCTATTAATGAGAAAAATTCCCACCCTTAATATATTCCTTCCAGTAAATAAGATGAAAAATCGAAAAGACAGGTCAATTTCATTTTCAAGGGGGACACAAGTGCCGTTCTAAACTTACAGAAATAATCAGAACATGCCTGCACTGAGATGCAAGGTTTCAAGGTTAGTGTTATTGTATTCACTCTCCTTTTGGTTCAAAATCTTCGAAGTATTTGAACTGGAAGGATAGTCAATACAATAAAAATTCGGCAAAGTCATATCTGCTCGAAGCCCAGGAAACGAGGATTTCTCTCCTTAAAAAATAGTTTCAAAAATTTTCAATACTGTGAAGCTATAAATGAGAACAATCCGGATTTTGGATTAATGTCCAAGACATCAGACAAAATAGCAGTCTAGTGTATTTAGGATCCCGCAACAAAGAAACGTCGATTTTCTTGCTCAACAATTCATATTTACATACGGGGAATCTATAAATTGTTCTTTTTTGTTACCATGAGCAAATGCTTACGGTGTTTAAAGGATGCAGTTGATGATAAAGATTCATTCAGGTGTGATGGTTGCAAGACTACTTCATGTGGCATTTGCAAATGTAACTTCAACAGAGGTGAGATGCCTGCAACTCGCTGGAGGAAGGAAGTTAAATTTTTTTTGCCATGACTGAGAATGGTTTATTAGAAATACCAGTATTAAAAATACTGGTGAAAGAACTACAGTCCAAAATGGAAGATTTCAAAAATGCTTATGGATTCTTGATAGCAGATAAAGGCAATCATATAAGTCAGAGATTGAACCATTGAAGATGCGTGGGCATCAAATATCCCATTCAAAACAATGTTTGCAGAACTCAACACGCGTCAAATAAGGTCTAATAATATTATGATCTACAATGTAAAAGATTCTTCATCTGAAGAAATTAGTGAAAGAATAGAAGCAGATAAAAAGGAGGTTAGTCAATAATGCAGAAGATGGATATGAGTAATGCCACAAATAATAGCATTATGAAAATACTTAGAGTAGGTCGTGCAGGTGGCTCAAAACATAGACCTGTCAAAGTAGTATTCTCAAATAGACAAATTGTCAAACAACTATTGAAATCCATGATGATACTGAGCACATCAATTAGAATCAGTGATGGGCAAACAAGAATGCAAAAGGACATGTTCAAAAAAGTAAAAGATGAGTCAACATGAAGACAAGCAAATGGTGAAGAGAACTTTAAGATCAAGTATTGAAGAGTCACTCCTACAATTATCGAAAAAGGAAAAAACTAAAGGGCATCCCATTACAAGTTTACTGTCAAAATATTGGCGGCATTCCTACAAAAGTAGAAGAACTAACTGAACCAGTGTTTTGTTCCAGACATGATTTCATTATTCTAATTGAATGTCAGCTCTCAAAAGATATTCTGGATTCTGAAATCAAAGTTCCCAAATACAATTTCTTCAGGTGTGATCATAGCGGTGAAACAAGCACTAAATCTAGGGGAGGTTGTGTACTGATTCTCATTGAGGACACAATAAAGGCAAGGAAGGTGAAGTTGACAATCAGGTCATGAGGTTAATCAATTGGAGGCGTTTATATTCCAACAGCAGCAGAGACGATTTACCTACAACACTGCCAGGCTGTCCAAGAATTTTTTATGCGATACAAGCATTGTAAGTCTTTCACCTCGTCTTTCACTTTCGGCGATTTCAATATACCTGTGGCCCATTGCACGAATAAAGATACTGAAGTTTTGGTAACTTGCCCTCAAGGATCTCATGCATTGCCTCTATTAAAAAAATATTGAATTTTCACTCATCTTTGAACGTTTCGAGAACGAATCTGCTCCCGTTCTCAATATGAAAATGCAAAAATATTTTTCCTTGAAAGTTGTGCTCTTATAATTTGACACTTCTCAGTGACATACTGATGTTGGCATATAAATGAGTGATGTTAGTATAGGTACAAATGAGTTTCAGAATGTTTTCCTTAATTGATCTTGAATCTACTATTTTCATGTTCAGTTTTCAGTAGTGAATACCATATTCTATCTATATCAACTGAACAAGAAGCAATCCTACTGTCTCCGTTCAGAAGAATGCAAGCGGATTCCTTGATTTTTCTCTTTTGGTTGTTATTTTCTGTTATGTTCTCTGATTTTAATATCATTCCATATGTTGCCATTTTCAGTAAGGATATAATTCACCTGTATAATACTTTCAACAAACGCAAGGTATACTATAAATATCAGTTTTTGATGATTCTTCTTCATTTTTCGGATTGTGTCAATTTTAGTCAACATTTGCATACAAGCTTACTCATCTACATAGACTTCAGTGTCATTTTTCAAGTGTCTTTCATCCTCTTCTGGTTCATACATGAACTTTGACTTGTAACAAGTCTCTAGGTATGGATGGAGTTTCAGTGGACTTGTAGAACTTCACAAGGTCCCATCCATTTTACTCCATTTGAAATAACCAAGTTGTTGCTGTATTTCGATAAAACCGGCAACGCCGCGTCGCTGAACATATTTTAGAACGATGTCCCCCTCGAAAATGTAGTTGACATGTTCCAGCTTTATTTTATAATCCGGTTCTGTCGACAGACCTACAGAGCCGCTGTTTAGTTATCAACGCCCCACTGTATATTTAGGAGAATAATTTTTATGTTTTGGTTTTCAGGCATTAACATTTCAAAAAATCAATAGAATAATAACAGAAGTAGATTCACAACCAATGTTTGATGGTGGTGTATTAATAAATGTTTTAGGAAGGTTACAAGTAAGTATACATTCTATAATTAAACTAGAGATAGGTATTTATGTACCAAGGACGAAACACTGTCTATTATAGTCGAATCTGCAAATTGATAGCCGAGGTCTTATATCCGAGACAATAGACAGTTTTTCGCCGAGGTACATATTACATTTATTCGTCGACCTCAAACACTTATATTCACATCACCCTACTATTCATTCTTGAAATCTATCGGATTTCCTGAATAATTAATTTGACAACTACAAATGACAGTTGTTGTCAACTCAGTCTCCGCGCGGACCAGGGTTTTCAGTTATACCTTGTCAAAAATTCAGTAGACTTCAATAGATCTGTTTAAGATCTATTTTATGCTGTAGAAATTCCAAGATAATAAAGTTACATATGTACTTATAAGATTTGAGTATAGAAAGAACAGGAACAAATAGTAAAAATGAATAACAAAAATAAAAAACAAATAAAGGAATTGAAGGTAGGAAACAGACTGTTATAATAGAGGTATTTAAATAATTGAATTTGATCTGAATCAGATAAAGTATTGTCCTTTTTTTGGTTTATACATATCATTAGTACCTATATGTACATTTATTACTTATTTTGTAAAATTTATTCAAACAGAGCGTGCCGAAATATCATGCAATTTATAAGTGTATGCAATTAACTAATATAGGTAATTATCTTTGTCAAAATATTCTTCAGTAGATGATGATGATTTTTTTTTATCGATTGGAGCGCACGAAAGGGAATCCCTATAATGTTCAAAGAACATCGTGCGTTCCTAGGGAGGATAGGGACAGGAGGTAGGTATTGGAATTTTTTTTGAATTTTTGGAGATTATATGTTGTTGGGAATACTTCCACAGGCAATGAATTCCAGAGCCTAGCCGTTCTATGGATGAAGGAGTCTTGATAAAGTGCTGTTCGACATCTTTCGAGATTACCGAAATTTCAGTAGAACTGGCAACCCTGCAGCGGACGAAGTGTTTGCGGACGAAAAGTTTATGTCTGCGGACGAAAACTACGAAAAGTAGTTGCCTTCGGAAATATTCGGTTCTTCGTTCGAAAATTAGAACGTAAAATTTGATTTTTTGTATAGGTCGACGAAAATAGTAGATTGTTTTATTAGGATCAAAAGTGACACTTTGTTTGACAAGCGAATTTTGCATTTGCGAGGCGGAGCGTTTAGCGAAGCCGAGCGAAAGCAAAATTTGCGAGTCGAACAAAGTCACTTTTGATCCGAATGAAACATGCTATTTTTTCTGCAACCGAAACAATCAACTCAAATAATAATAATAATAATAATATACATACATAATCTATACTACACTGTGTTTGACGTGATAATCTAATGGAGCTAAACAATATCGTTGTTTGAGATAAAAAAACAATTGCTTGCCGTGATTATTCAAAAACAAGTTATCCATCCCGAGAATAAGGAATGAAATAACAGATCACGCAAGTATTTGAATCTTGAAGGCTCCCCTGATCAAAACAAAAATACTTAACTGAGATGTTTATAATTTCAATAATAAACTATTATAATAAGGTTTATTTATATCTCCTGCATGGGGATGAAATGCCAAATCTGCTGAAATCGGAAACAAATCAGGTATGCGTCTCAACCCAAATAACCAACCGTCACAATGTTGTTCATTCTTGATGACGTCCAGTAGATCCTTTTTAGTTCCTAGGAGCTAAAGTCGAACTTTAGCTCCTAGGAACTAAAATTCAACTTTAGCTCCTAGGAACTAAATATGTTGCCTAGCAACATACCTATTTTTATGTCAGTAATAGAAACGTCAATTTAAGAGCTAATTTTGGTATCAAAATGGACGACTTTTGTGTCGGTTGCAGAAAAAAATTATTATTTGATGAATAGTGGTATGGTAAATTTATATATGAATTTTTTTATCTCATCTGTAAGTTTGCGCTTCTGAAACGAATTCATTTCTTTCAATTATTTTTGAAAGTATCAAACCGTGCTACCGAAACTTGAGGTCAGGGTTGGTAGAACTGGTATATAAACTTCATATTTTCGTGTCATTTGGTCTCTTGCTACGATATCTTCTCCATCAATGTAAGAATTGGTCGTAAAGTTGAACATTGAGAGTAAAAAAACGTAAGTCGGTTCACGTCTTTCGATATCCAATTGTTCAAATATTCTTCATAATTTTTTTTTCGAATCTGTTCGATAAAAAACAGGCCATAGCGATCTTGACACTGACTTCACGTTTTAGTAGCGCCAACTGGTGAAAGTGAAAATGTTAGCCCGCATTGTAAGTGCCCTGAAGTTCATCCCGAGATTTCTAGCCACACATGCTGGACAAGAGAAAACACAGAAAATCTGTAGCTGACATACAAATATATGAGCACTATCATCAAGATGTGTACATTGTGCGCATCTTGAAATTGAAATCCCTCTTAACCCTTTTGTTTTAACATATATGAAAAAATGTTGAATGAAAAAGTTGTTCGAAACGACCGAAACTTCTATTTCGTGTAGTTTTTTTTTGTATACAAAGAAGTCATTTGTTCTTCCGGAAAGGACATTTTGACTCTGTTTTTTTTAATGGAACACCCTATTTATTTTTTGACATGTCGATAGGGCCTTTTTTTATTCCTAAAATTCAAATAAGTTGCATATTTTTATGAGAAATTACCAAAATAGCGCTCCATGAACCTTCACTTCATACCACCTAATGTCAGTTTAACAAGATGGGCATTGAAATAATGTTTATATGGGTGAAAATAAAAAAAAAATATGCCTATCCATGTTCCAACGCAATAAAAATAGTAAGAAACTGAGAATGAGGTCACAAATAATCTGAGAATATAGTGATGTATTTCAAAAATTTTACCCATTCATAGCATCCTAAAAGGGATAATAACTGTCCTGTCGTTAACGTGTCCCACTGTCGAAATTGAATGTTCAGTGAAGGTTTCGAGTATGAAATAAATATATTTGTTACAAATGTTATATACCATTGGATTGGAAATAATGCACACTGATAGATTACAGTTTCTGAACACATGAATATCACCTACTAGTAAACTAACGAAGGTAAACTCGCGTGTCTGCATAATACGATCTTGTCGGTAACTCGAACTGTCAGTGTATATAACATCCGATGGAAGTGTCAAAAGAGTCATACCACTGGTAAATTACTTCATCAGTATGTACAGTCGTATTCAATAAAAAAGCGTACAAGTATTAGAAAGAGAAGATTTCGGGATCCTAGTTCTAGTTGTGTGAAACTGGCTCAGCCAATGCTTTGTGTTTTTGAGAACCTATGACAACTTTACTGTCAACATTTGGTGAACAATCATTCCCGATAGCCCGTTTTATGCAGAATAGGGTGACGTTAATTTCTCTCTGTAATATACTTGTTCGCATTTTTTTTTATTGCGACTCTACTCATAGTGAAAATATCGTACACGTCCCATCAATTTCCACCTACGATTTTTTCTATGGAATTGGTTCTGGAAAAACAATAGTATATTTTTACAACGTCTACGGTGACTTGCTGAAATGAGAACAATTTACCATCATGGTTTATGGTATTATACAAGGTGTATCTAAATAACACCCAAAAAATTCAAGGGGTGATTCCTTGTGATATTTTATGAAATAAAGTTCATATATACGTGTGTCCTAACTTGCTTCGTTTAAGAGATACAGGGTTTATTCATCTCTCAATTGTCTTTCTATCAATTTCAATAAAACGTGGTTTTGTTAATAGTAATATGGAGCTTCTTCTAGTGCAATTAGATTCGAAATTCCAGTGGCGTCACAGTGGGCAAATTTATCGATATCCATGGTGAATGTAATTATTGTACAGGACAGTTTTTCTGAGTTTGATATTCTTATCAGATTGAACTATTGAAATAACAACTTCTTTATCCTCTGTGTGATTTTTGTATCTAGCTTAGTTTTTGAGGGAACAATAAAAATTCGATTTGACTTCAAATTTTATTGTGGATGTTTTCGAGACTTCCATCGAGATTACTCAATAACCCCAATTGAAATCATTTTGAAATTTTAGGGCTTTCTCAGTCTCCATGCATACTGAGTTTTGGCACCAGGGAAGCTTATATAGGGGGGGGGGGTTAAAAATAAAAACAATTAATACCTCCAACTTCAACATCCTGTATCTCAAAAACGGAGCAAGTTAGGACACATGTTTATATGAACTTCATTTGCTAGAATGTCACAAGGAAACACCCCTTGAATTTTTTCGGTGTTATTCAGATACACCCTGCATATTACAGTAAATGATTCATTAAACCACCATTCAACATATTTGTATTCTTGAAATAACATTGAAAAACTGATTCATAAGGAAATGTCTTGTCGGTAACAGTCTTATCGATAATGAAAGACACACATTGTTCGTTACCGACAAAATTAACATGTTACCGACAAGCCAATCGTTATATTTTTGAGCATTTGACGGAATCAATATGTCAAAAAATGATTATATTATCATTCTAAAGAAGTGAGAATAAGAAATAACAGTATATTGCTTTCATTCATTCATTTTATTCCATGTCGGTAACGTACCTTAAAAAATCCTCTGAAATTTCTGGGCTTTAAATCTGGTAGTTCATATATCATTTATACCAAGATGAGTCTTCAGTATGTAATAAAAATATTGTTTCTCCTAAACATCTACGAAACTTTCAATGAAGTGTTATTTTGGGCTCTGCAACGAAATAGCGCGTTACAAAACAGCGCATTACAAAACAGCGCTTTACAAAACAGTGCTGTGAGAAAACAGCGCGTAACAAAATAGCGCGTTCTGAAATAGCGCTCATTTCCGTTGTTGTATCAAATGTTTAAAAGTTTTCACAGAGGATTCGCCTTTTGACCATGGAAGGACACACATGGCGTCTCCAGGTCAAAAGTCTGGTTGATGTGTGTGCAAGTTTGAAATTTTTCTAATTACCTGATTTGGATTAAAATCCAATATTTATTGTGAAGTTTATTAAGTGTGTGTGAAAATAATCAAGCCCTTTTATCTCTACGCCGGTATAGAGGCCGGATGATGACGGATTCATCGGGTAAAGGAGCCATACTTGAAATCAAACGTGGTCCAGTAGGAGCACATACGATAGAATCTTGAACTTTGATGAACTCGGCTTCCGGGCATGGTGACGGACTACGGTGTCTTTAGTGCTCTAGTCGATAGATAATATTACATAACCATATATAATTCTTGAAAAAATTTAATCAATTGTTACCGAAAGGAGACAGAAATCCAATACACCCAAAAGAAGAAGAAGAAGAAGAAGAAGAAGAAGAAAAGTTTTCACATCTCAAACATATCTCATTAGCCATTATACCTATCAGTGATTGATTATTCAACTTATCAAGTGAGTCAGTCGTTGCGTCGTAGCTGTGAAAAAGAAATTCTCGAATAGTACCATAGATGCGTCATTCATGTTTCAATTTGACAACAGTCATCTAATGTCTGTAATCAGTGGAAAAATTACGTGGGAAAAAACTAATAAAATTGGAATTTATTTGAACGCATACGAAAGAATTTGACCAGAACAAAATAAATATATCTTTGAAAGTTTGGACAATTTGTTCCAACATTAATTGGATTGCCTCCATCCATCGGTTGATAAATTGATTAATAATCTGAAAAAAGAACAGAATCAGGCTGAAATTTTCATAACACGCTTCAGATGTGGCTTTAGACATGAGGAGGGGATTAATAGCAAATATGTGCAGTTCAATAAAATATTTAGAAGATTAGTGAGAAACTGAAACTTCGACCAAATTGAAGATTACTTGCATTCTAATGTCTACAATTTGAGTATTTGACTTTTATGTTCAGAGACTTGTTTGTTATAGTCCAATAAGGAGTTGAATTAAATATGCTTTTCATAATTTCTAATCATCTTGGAATTAGCGCTATTTTGAGAACGCGCTATTTTGATAGAGCGCCATTTTGATACGCGCTGTTTTGTTACTGCGCTGTTTTGTCGCGCGCTGTTTTGTTACGCGCTATTTCGTTGCAGAGCCGTCTTTTTGTGTGTTTTATATTTTCCATTTTCATGAAACGTCCATTCGGGGTCATGAAAAAACGGCCAAATAATCAAATGAGCGGTTGCACGCATATTTCGTAGTTGTATTCTACAGGTTGTTGCGAAATTCGACCGACAACGCTTGACAGGTGATAGCCCTCGTGATTTCATAATCACTGAGATAGGGACATACGGTCTTGAAATGTTCAGTTCTCGAGATAAAGGGCGTTGAAGTTGAGAAATTGAAAGAGTTTTTTCGCAATATCTCAAGAAAAATTTAATATAATGCATTCAAATTCGGTATATGGTTTCATCTTTCAATGGTTTATTTTTTGACCAGAAATACATTCCGAGAATTTTATCCAGAGGTGCGCTACAGAGGGTTGTGATAACTTTTCCTCCCATATTTTCTACGCCACTGATGAAATTTCGATTATTTCCAATTTCTCGAATTGATTGTTCAATTATGTTGAAAACATGCATCACCTTCAACTGAGCTAAAATGAACAGTTATCGAGATATTTGACCCAAAATAGAAGTTTGCATAGTAATTTTTCATCTTCCTCGGTAGAAGAAAATTACAAAAAATTTTGTTTTCTCTTCATGCGTGGAATAACTTTCTGTTCAGCTATAGAATGATCTGAATAGTATCTAATCTACTCAACACCAGAAAAATATTTTCGCAATTTTCTACTACTGAAAATGATGAAATATTACTATGCAATCTTCTATTTCGGGTCGAATATCTCGAAAACTGTTCATTTCAGCTCAGTTGAAGGTGATGCATTTTCTGAACAAAATTGAACAATTAATTCGAGGAATTGGAAATAATCGAAATTTGATCAGTGGCGTAGGAAATATGGGAGGAAAAGTTGCAACAACCCCCTGTAGGGCACCACTGGATAAAATGTCTGAAATGGCTTCCTGGTCAAAAAATGCCCCATTCATAGATGAAACCATATACCGAAGTTGAATGCATTATATTCAAATATTCTTGAGATATTGCGACACAACTATTTTTATTTCTTAACTTTAACGCCCTGTGTGTCGAGAACTGAACACTTGAAGACCGTATGTCCCTATCTCAGTGATTATAAAATCACGAGGGCTATCACCTGTCAAGCGTTGTCGGTCGAATTTCGCAACACTCTGTATATAGTGACTCATAATAACATGAATCTACATTGTATATATCTCAATATGTCAGACTTACAGTGAATATTATTAACGTTACCGACCAGACATTCATTGATGCTTTAGTCCCTAAAATTCTCTTAATAAGGGAAAAGCTCTGTTCTTGATCGCAAACAGTACCTATTTTCTGAAAAACATAGATGAGGTTATTGATTGGAAAATTGTGTAAGCGCATTTATGCGCATCGATATTTCCAGATTGAGAAAGAGAATGTTCATCATTAATAACTCGACAATTTTTTATCCAAATATGCTTATTTAGGTTTTCGAAATCAGAAAAGGGGGCTCTATCGGAATGTCAAAAATACATAGGGTGTTCCATTTAAAAAATCAGAGTTGATGTCCATTCCGGATATACTTAGGACCCTGTATATAAAACAACGCCATAAAAATAGTTTGGGTCGTTTCAAACAACTTTTTCATCTAAAAATGTTTCATATCTCTAAAAACAAATGAGTTAAAGGGGGTTCAATTTTAAGAGGCGTACCCTGTACTATATACTAGCTGAAATTTCAAATCCTTCAACTCACAAAATGACATGACTTGAAAAGAACAACTATTTTATATACTAGATACTAGAGATATGCTACTCAACCAACTCATAAACCCCATAACATTAGAACCCCAGATGATGTGTGTTAATGAAAATAATAGGAATCATTTATAATTCCAACTGACATGAATGACACTTCTGAAAAATGAATGATGCAATAAGCAATGTTGATGTTGTAAAAATATGTAGTGCCCGAGGTAGAACCACATGATGGTATCTTCATGAAAGAAGCGAACAACTACTGCCAACGAGACATTGATACAAGTTGCTTTTTTGGATGTCAATTTTCAAAAGATGAATATTGAGGTAAATTTCCTCTCCTCGTTTTTATCAATGCATATTTGAGAATTTTTGAAATACTTGTGTAGTAAGGACAAATTGAATGATTTGCACCAACATGTCATTCCGTTTAAGAAATTCACGGAAAGTCACTATTAGAGAGCATAAAAGACAAATTCAATCGATAGTCAAAGACACCTCGTGGCTGGCAAAGCAAGTGCAAGCAGAAATACAGGCCATCCTGGTCTGCGTACCAGAAATTCAGAGAAGGCTCATCTCGATATATTCGGACAGCCAACCGCCTCCGAGACTAATCTCAAGATTTATGCTCGAATGTCAGTTGGCCCCACAGAACTGTAACCCAGAGTAGAATGGAAATTGAATTTCATCGAAAGCATTCATGAAAGGGTAAAGAGCGTAGTCAGGCACATGCGCAATTACGTTGTATCAGAACCGGACATGAAACATGGCAATTATTTGATATGAGTTATTTGTATGCGATTGTCGTATGTAATACAACAAGTGTATCGATGATTATCACTTATAATTTCCCTAGCAGCAGAATTATCGGAAATTAATTCTGCTGCGTGGGACATTCGGTAAGAAAATTTCATGAATTGGAGTTGCTTTTAATATGATGAGAAGATGAACACTACGACCCATTCTGCGTAGATTTCAAATAACATTTGACACTTAGGGATAACTCGTTTTTATAACTAATTTGTGAGAATCATTAAATAACAAATTTGTTATCTGAAATCCAATGTCCTCATAGATTTAAATTTGAATGAAACTTAGAAAAACATATTTCCGATGAGTTTATTTTTATATATGACACACTATATTTTGAAAATGGAAGTTGATTTTACTTTCTAGTAATTGTTTATTAAAATATCAGGAACATTGAAAACATGAATTCGTTTTCAACCATATCATCTGATATTACATGTCTACATCGTTTTAAATGAAACTTAGAAACTATATTTTCGATGAGTTTAGTTGAATAAGTCACACTATATTTTTAAAACATTTGAAACATGAATTCGTTTTCAACCATATCATCTGATATTACCTGTCCACATCGTTTCAATTGAAACATAAAAAACTATATTTCCGATGAGTTCAGTTAAATATGACGCACTATATTTTGACAATAGAAGTTGGTTTTACTTTCTTGTAATTGAGGTTTATTACTAAAATTTCAGGTCCATTAAAAACATTACTTCGTTTTCAATCACAGCATCTGATATTACATGTCTACATAGTTTCAAATTTTCGAAATACAAATCCCTTCGCTATGCGCTTGAGTGATTGCCAAGCAACATAATTTGTTTCGAAAAAGATGAGGAATTTTCGATAATCATATAATATATCATATCTTATGAATATGTTCTCAGATACCTACAAAGTACTTTCAAAGATACAGTTTTCGTTATTCCTACTATATGTGTGGCTAGTAATCTGGATAACTCCTTGGCATTCATTTTCTTCAATGAAAAATTTTAAATCTATTCCTATTCCACATTATCAGACAGATGAAGATTTGCCCCATGCCTATGTACAAACATTCGTGCTGAAACCAATAGAGGGAAGTTTTTTTATCCAACATGATATTTTCCGTCTTGTCCTACATGATACCATATAGCAGTACGTAAGAACTTCAACTAGCCTGTGTTCAGCTTGAGGCTTGAAGCTAACATGCTAATAACTTACCAAGATAATCAATCAAGCAAGGGCGTAGTAAAAAGGGGTGAATTAGGTGCACAACCAGGTGCATCACATATTTAATACACCGATGCCGCGAACAAAATTCACATAGCCAGACACAGGGAAATTCTTTGGGTTCGTAAAGAATCAATGAGTTGGCCGTGTCATTGTGAGGCTACCTTATCGTACGAGTATTTCACTTGAAGTAACTACAGTGTTATCGAAATATGTCTTGTTTTTGGGAACATTATAGACACCTGATCATTTGTGAAGTTTTCACAGTTACTATTGATTTTCATCTAGTAACAGTCGGGTCAATTCAAGGTCAAGGGCATTTGACCTTGTTCATAAAAATTTCGCTTTCGCTGAATTTTTTATCCCTTATTCAACTTGTTCTGTCTGTTGAAATCCAGCCCTTGTAGTTGTTATTACTACGCCCTTGCAAGGAAGGTGTTCACCAATCTGATAATACAGTTTATGATACAAAACCGTTCTTATGATGACTATTTTGATAATCATATCAGTATCAGTATGTAATTTTCACAGTTGGTGGACATCATATCATAACAGTGATGGACATTCTAGGAACATT